ATTTTATGAAATACCAAATCAGGATTAACTTGTAGAATCTTAGCCAGGGCTTCAGAGCAAACTTGTCTCAAGTCCTGTCTTTCCTCCTCTCGAATTCCCCGAAGCCGTATGGCAAATTCCATCGCCCGGAATTGTATCATAACAATCTCATCTTCAATTCTCTGCATTTTATTGTCAACTTCATCAATTTTATAATCATTGTCTTTCATCCTAACATTAACTTCTGATTTAAATTCTTCAACTTTAAAATCAACTTTCCCAATAAAATCTGCCAGGCCAGACGCCACTTCTGATATTTTTTTGGTCACCATAATTTGATTCTGTTTCACCATGTCTTTAATTTCATTAATTTCCTGCAAAAATTCCTGATGTGATTTTTGAAGTTCCTGTTGTGATTCTTGAAATTTATCATCCAAAGTTTTAGAAATAAATTCTTTTAAATCTGCCACATCAAATTCTTTTTTCTGAGTTTGTAACTGTTGAGCAGGGGGAAGTTGCGTTTGCTGTTTGTGTGTGGGGGATCCCCCCCTAATGCCTTCCCTTCCTGCTTCTTTGAAGCCATCCTGGCTCGTGATCTAGTTTTTCTAAAGAGGGAGGTTCCTTTTCCTTTCCCTCCTGCACAAAGACTTCTAAAAAAGTCCCCCAGATTTGATCAAACAAGGGTTAAAATAAAGCAAAGTCCAATATTGAAAAGGGAAAAAATTTCCCAGTTATTTCTCTTATAACAAGCAAGGCAGCTTAGTAGCAACTTGGAAACTTTGTAGCAAAACAAAGTAACTTCACCAATCCACACTCGCTGGCTCGTTAACTCTGAAGCTAGGCGCCATGTTTTTTCAAAGCACTTTCACTCATTTGCATTTTCTCAGATTGAAAAGTCAACAAAGTGCTAATACTTGCGTTTCCAAATTTCAGGATTCAGGTAGTTTCGCTGTTTATTAAAGCTGGTTCTTTCGCTTTAAGTTTCCTGCAGCCGGCTTGTTCTGCAGAAGCAGAATCGTCCCACGCCGCCCGGAGTCTCAGCAGGTTGGAAGGGAGCCGCGCCTGTTTCCTCCCCAGAAACAATTCCCTGGGGGGTTACAGGGGCTCGACCTGTGCCCTGCTATCTCTCCTCCAACAATCCTCAGGATTTTGAAGTTTTCGAGCCGCTTCTCGATCGCGAAGCGGCTCTACAGGCGGCGGGGCTGGCGGAGCTTCAAAGAGCGCCGCCGTCGCCGAAGACAAGGAAACCGGAAGTCCCGTAAACAGATGTTTTTAATAACTTGCAGACAAGTGTTACATCTGTATCTACACTCTTAGCACACATTTTTGCCTTTGAATAGAAAGCTCTGTGCAGTAAAGTCAATAGTTGCAGTTCTCACCATATCAAGATCCAGATGTGTTTCACAGTTATCCCACATCCACTTTCAAAAAGCAACTTTTATAAGGAAAAAAAAAAATTTTGATATACTGTGCATATGCATATGACTATTACCTTTTCCATATTCAAAGGCTGACTCAAATAATTTGCAGGGAGATCTACCAAAAGTAGAATTCCTGTCTATGTAGGACAGTGCACATACACTGTAATGTAGAAACAACTATTTCTGAACTGGCATGTCTTAAGTACGCTTTTACATTCCAAAATGCTACATATCAGGCTAGAAAATTGTGCTTTTCATGGTGAAGCTCCCTGTAGGTGCTTTGAACATAGCTATGCTGGTAATCATCTCAAACTACTTAAGGAGGACATACCGTACCATAGTTCTTTGCAAAGTTACATAAGTGGCATCACAGAAACCCACATAGCCATGTGATATTCTTAAATATATTATGCAATATTTCCATAGAAAATTTACAAAAGTATTTTTACATCAAATATTTAACACCACCACATATAGAGGGTAATTTCCTGCTCTGCAAGTTTTATTCGAAAGTTGAAAAGATTTTTTTTTCTTGTCAAAATCTGCTAACTCATAGCCCATCAGCAAGATTCCATCACCTGTTAAGCAACAGGAAGAAGAAATGTCTTTCATAAGACCATTTACAAAATAGTTAATATTTCATGTTAGGTTAGATTCTCTGAGCAATTTTTACCCTGAGAAATGACTATTATCCATGTATATTATACATTGACAATCTAAGCAATAGATCAAGAAATATTAAATTTTGCAAGCAATACTATTTTATGCAATTATGTAGTGAGTGTAGTGGTAGAATACATAGGAGCTTTGTAAACAGATCAGCTTACTTATAAAAGCCGATTTTCAATAGCATTTAAATAGAAAAGCACATTAAAAGCTGATTTTAATAGCAATTAATAGAAAAACATATAATGATTCTCTTCAGCCATTAAATCCAAGAAGAATTAGGCTAGGATTTGAAAAAATCAATAGGCACATCCTCCAGAAAAATATAAATATCAATTACTTGCAAAACTATGCAGACTAACAGGTAAGAGAGTTAAACTGCGAGAGAGTTTAAAAGATTATCTGAAAGATTTTTTTAAAATATACAATGTTTTAACAATTGTGAACTCTTTTTTTTTTTTTAAAGTTGATTTATATGCCGCCCTTCTCCGGAGACTCAGGGCGGCTTACAATACGCTAAGCAATAGCCTTCACTCTTGCCGATAGTTGGGCAGCAGGCACGTTTAATAAATTATCACTTATCCAAACTGTGAGTTACTTCTGCTTTTTGCATAAATAACATCTTCTAAGTGACTTATATCACTCCACAATAGCAGAGGTGGGACGTTTTTAATGCTGCTCCTTGTGGAAAGGAGTTAGTTAATCACACTGTGTTAGAAAGGCTACAGGTTAGTAATATGTAAACTTTTTCAAAGCCTTGCATTTTAGAAAGAATTGAAGTCAAGTTCCTTAATCCCTAGAACTAAATTGTGGGTGACGACAACAAAATATAGCAATAGCAATGAAGACCTGATATACATGTATTTCCCTGCCAGTAGACACAGAAGCTAGAGCGATTAATCCATGTTGCTTTCTTGGCAACAAAACAGAAGTGGAATGCCACTCTATAGCTATGAGACTTCCTGGCGGTCTCTCCCATTCAAGGTCTGATTTATTTATTTATTTATTTATTGGTTCGATTTATATGCCACCCTTTTCCGGAGACTCAGGGAGGCTTACAATGCGTTAAGCAGCTTACAATGCGTTCAAGCTGCCTCATAAACAGGGTGCCCTTAAATTGCCCATGAAAACAACATCGGAATCCAATAAAGCCACCTTTTTAAAGTCAACTAGAGCAGGGGTCTCCAACCTTGGCAACTTTTAAGCCTGGAGGACTTCAACTCCCAGAATTCCGAATTCTGGGAGTTCGAGTCCTCCAGGCTTAAAGTTGCCAAGGTTGCAGACCCTTGCACTAGAGCAGGGGTGGGCAAATGTGGCTCTTTTACAACCTGTGGACTTCAACTCCCAGAATTCCTGAGACAGCCAAGCTGGCTCAGGAATTCTGGGAGTTGAAGTCCACAGGTTGTAAAAGAGCCACATTTGCCCACCCCTGAACTAGAGAAAGCTTACGAATATTCCAGCACTGCAGAGAGCTTCTAAATGTTTTCCTTCTACTGAGTGGGTAGACTTATTAGGCCTGTTTATGCGAAAACAAGCATTGCACCGGGCTACGAAAAACAAGACTTCCTCATCTCTTCCCGCTCTTAACCAGCTTTCCCTGCAGGCGGGAGAGAAGAAGACGGGGAAAGAGCATTTACATCCACGCCAGCCCGATCGGACTTGATAGGGAACCCCAGAGGTCAAAGGAGCTTCCCCCGTTCTATCTATTTTTCCCGGATCCTAAAAAAAGGGATCGCCGCCCCTCACCGTGGAAATCCCCCGTGTCGGCCACCACGGTGGTGTGTTGCTTGAGCTGCTCCAGCGCCGACTCCATCTTCTGCTTTTTCACGGGGGAAACTGACATGGTCGCGCGGGGTTGCGAAGAAATAAGGAGGCGCGGTTGCGGCGCCTGAGACGTTTCCGTAGCCTCGGACGAGAAATCAAGTGGATCGGCACGCGGCTTCCGGGCTTGCGCAGCGCGAAGGTGTGTGTGTGTGCTTGTGTGTGTGTGTCGGCTTCTTCGTCGGAAGGCAGGAGGGCGGGCAGAGGGCGGCGCCTACGTCATCACAGATTCACATGTTCCCCGCCTCTCTCTCTCTCTCTCTTTCTCTCTTCCAAAGAGCGCCGGGGTGCGCTAAGGCGGCCCTGGGCAAAGGGCACAGGCGATTGGTTGTAGCCTTTGGTTTTTCCTGCTCGGCAGCCAATCAGAATTGCTCTGGGTTGAAGGACGAGCAGGCGGTGCCATGGCCTTAACTTAAATCAGAGGTCTTCAAACTTGACAGCTGTAAGACTTGTGGACTTCAACTCCCAGAATTCTCCAGCCAGCATAGCATGGCTGGAGAATTCTGGGGGTTGAGGTCCACAAGTCTTAAAGCTGCGAAGCTTGAAGACCTCTGACTTAAATGAACTAGAACCGATCATTGGAAGGGCGGGAGAGAAAGGGCGGTCGGTGTGCCTCGTCCTTGCCTACGTTTGAGAGGCAAGGTGTAATAAGTCAGGTTGATTTGTCGTCCCCGTCCCTCCCTCCCTCCGCCTGCAATCTTGCCTTGACCTCCTCCGTTTTACCTAATATGCTTTTTTTTAAAAATGTATTGTTTTATCATAGAAAATAAAATATAAAACAGTAAAACAAACAAAACAGAAACATACTTTTAACCCTAACAACAACAACAAAGAAAAAAAAATAGTGTACAAAAAAGAGAGGAAAAAATGGTCAATTAAATTTAACATTTAGCATGTAGGATTCACCCTGACTGGGTGCTGGGGAGAAAACCCCAATAAATTCTCCTCCCATGTATTTATATGTTTAGCAAGAAAAAGCAGTCAACAGGTTGAGCTAAACATTACACTAATCTTTAAATCCCTCTGTTAACCATCTGTTATTATATTTAGCATGTAGAAAGTCTACAAACTGACACTAATATGCTTTTTTGAATACTTGGCAGCTTAAAACGGAGGAATTAATCAAGTAAAATATCACTGACCATTTGAAAGAAAGCTTCTGAGAGCCAGTTTGGGCTAGTGGCTGAGGCACCAGGCTAGAAACCAAGAGACGGTGAGTTTTAGTCCAGCCTTGGGCATGAAAGCCGGCTGGGTGAGTTTGGGCCGGTCCCTCACTCTCAGCCTATGATGTCAGGTTCGGGAGCGCAACTCATGTATTAATATTAGGTTGTGCCAGAGAAAGCAGATCATGCATTTGTGGGAAACCCTAAGAAGAAGAAAAAAGTTTCTGCAAGAGACAGTCCCACATGATTTAATTCATTTCATGCATTGTTTTAACATATGGATTATATACATTTTTTTGTTGTTGTTGCAGGATTCAGTCTGAGTCAGTCATAGGGACTAAAGGTTTATTCTTCCAAGCTTCCAAGTTTATGGTGGAGCCCATCCTGAGGGAACTGCCATCTCTCCAGAATATGCACTGGCCTGTTATAAACTTGTTTAAACACTGGTTGTGGGTAGCTTTTAGTTGATAATTAGGGTGTTGATAGCTGGCTATTAAGTTGTTGATTGTTGTTCCTTTGTGCTGCCAAGTCCTCAGGTCCTAAATACATGATCAGCACTCCTGTTGACTGATAAGGGGCTAATTCCCAGGCTTCGATCATTTCTCTGGCTATTTTTGTCCCTGCTCAGCAACAATTGTAGTAGCTGCGAAATTGAATGCATGTCCTTTTTCATTGCAGTGTGAGGCTACCAATGAGTCCAACAATCCTTGTTAACGGCTCACTCGTGTTCTTGCAATCTGGTGGTTAGCTTCCTCCCTATCTGTCCTATATAGTTACAAGGGCAATCCATGCAGGGAATCCGGTAAATTACATTAGAAGTTTCTCCCACCTCCAAGTTATCTTTGTAGTGCACCAATCCACCAGATTGCAAGAACACGAGAGAGCCGTTAGATGAGGAAACCTGAATTCATTGGTAGCCTCCCACTGCAATGAACAAGGACAAAAATAGTTCTGATTTCTTGTCTAGACTACCTGAAAGGGCTGACATATATGAAGCAATATAATGAATCGTTGACTTTGATTTAATAATGGATGTTTTAGTATTAGTTGTTTGATAAGTAACACAATGTTTTAGAATATTAGACTTTTAATATTCTACATGAAATATTTAATAATTATCTAGTAGTTTAGTAATCTAATTTGAAGAAGTATTTTAGTTAACTCTTGGAATTTTAATATTTGCATTTTTGTTTCGTCTTTGTTAATTTGCCCCCTTTTTCCTTGAATATTCTATTTTTTATTGCATAATTGTGCAAAATTCTGGTCAGTGAACAATAGGGAAGGAATTTAGTTTGCTAAATTGAAAAAAGAGTCAAGAGTTTGTAATATCTTTAATATTTATTGGGGAGCTGCATGGAAGAGAAGGTACATTTACCAAGCTACAGTTAGTGAGAATTTTTCCACAGTCTTTGTGCCAGTCCGGAAACAACTACACACCTGTGATTTTGTTGTTGTTGCTGCTGCTGTTTGGCTGGGCTAGTATATTTACAACTCAGTTGCTTTGTGTCTAGAATTACATGAGGGGCAATATTTTCATTTCTTATGTTCAGGCTCTGCAGAATTTAGGAGTGACTATTTTACTGTGAAGTCCTTGGTGCTCTCTCTGCACTAGCATTGATGGTTGTTGTGGTCCGCCAGCAGCCTGTGAAACTGCGGAGTCAGACAGTGAGGAGGCTGGGGAGGAACATGGGCCAGTCCTGGAGTCTGAGGAAGGCTCGGACGAGGGCTCTGCATCAGAGGCAGAGATGGGGCCAGGGCCATCTGGGAGTTATGTGCGGACTCCAGAACCTCCAGAGTCGGACATCAGAGAGGCAGAGTAACAGGGGGAGCCCGTTCCTAGTGCGTGCATGCGCAGAGCTGGCAGAAGGCAAGAACAGTTAAAACAAAAGGGACAACTTGGGAGTAAGGCTTGGAGATGATTGGCCCCTCCCATAAGACATAAAGGAAGAGCAAAGGCATGTGGGCCTTTGCAGGAAGCAACGTTGTGGATGGTGTTGGTTTGTACTTTGAAGCTCTGTTTTTGATTGTTTGTGTGTGGCCTTGCCAAGATAATTGCCAATTAGGTCTTTGGCAGCATGTCAAAGATAAAGGTGGGTGTTTACCAGCCTTATCCAAAGGTCTGTGGCAGACTTCTGTTGGACTATTTATAAACTCTTGGTGATTCAGCATGTGCTGTGAAAGAAAAGAATTCACGACTGTTAAAATAAAAAAAAGGGGTTTGAGGACTAATTGTGTGCTTTTTACTATATCAGGAAGCCTAGGTCAGAACAATGGTGATACCTAGTTGGGTGTCTGCAAACAATCAAGTTCAGAGAGCACCAAGGACTCTACACCTCAAGCCAGAGCTGTACACTTTTTTTTTCATGCAAAGCAGTCATTGAGACTACAACTGTGTGTATCCTTTTTTTAAACTTTAGCTTTCTTTTGCTTTACAGATCTGCAAAAGTGGTAAATGCGAAGATTGGTTGCAAAATTCTTTTTTCATCACAGTCATAACTATGAATGGTTGCTCTATGAGGCAGTTGCTGACTGAGGATTACCTGTGCCTCCTCGTAAATAGGAATGGTTTTTTTGGGGGGAGGGGGGAGAAATCAGGGCCAGGCAAATGCACACAGCATCAATTAAAAGTGGAGAAACTGGTGGGGCACTTTGTGCTCTTACATTAGGTGTTCTTTGTGCTCTTACATTAGAAACTGGGAATAAGAAGTGACTGGTAGTTGAACACTAATAGGCAGTTGGGAAAAGTATATAATAATCCTAATTAGGTATTTCTTTTATACAATATTCAAAGCCAAAAAGAAAATCTCTAGCTATGGTAAGATACTATGATAAAGCTATGCTACTTCTGCTATGCTAAAACACCCATGCATCAGCTCGTACTGTTTGTCTGATTAATTTCTTACATATTGTGGAGTACTCAGTTAAAGAATATCAGGGGGAAACAGATCTTTTCCCCCTATAGATTGTTTTAATTTTAATTGAAACACATGTAAAAAGAGTAGAAATAAATATATATATATTTCTGATTTTAAAGTATGATTTAAATTATCTCTGCGAGCTACCTTTAAAATACTTAATGTGAGCATATTTGTATTTAGCAATATCTCCACAAAAGCTTTTTGTTTCGCTTTTGTTAAGAACTTTGTCTATATAGTTATGTAGAAATAAAATTTACCTCTGCTTTTTATCTGGAAGAGGAATGCCTAACTTGAATATTCAAAATTCAGTTCAGCCCAGCAGACATGTCATTCATTCAGTTTTTTGTTGAAATTGGCCAATGTTCTGCCAACGGGATTATAAGAGTCTTATTCAGGGTATACGGTTGGCCTGAGAAAATGGAACAAATTGCAGTTCTCTCTTACTTTGACCAAAATTTCAAACTGGGCAGCTACCTACTTCATATGCAATATAAAGGCCAGAATAGGAATGGGCAGTGTTTTGACTTTGTGCCATTCTCAAGTTGAAATGTCCCATTTTGAATTCAAAACAGTTGTTCTGAGTTCAGAGCAGCTGTTTTACATCTACAGTTGACGTTTTTGGCCAGTTCAGCAGTGTTTGCAGCCTGACGTCATGTTTCTAACTCAAGACTTAAATGACCAAAACAACCTGTTTGAAATGTGAAAGAAGTGGGGTATTTTTTTTTTCATATTCAAATTTTTTGCACATTAAAACAGAAAATCATTTGTGAGATTTTAAGTTTGGACTTGGAATAAAAACTAGAGGTAAACTCAAAGTTGAGTGGTGAGAAAGTGTTCAACTTCTTTGTAACTATCAGTATCTACAATTGCGTAGTGTATCTCATGTATGGCATATTTCATGTTGGTGCCCTTCAGATTAAATGACTTTCAGAATTTTCAGCCGATACAGAAAGCATTTTGACATCAGTTCCTACCAATATATGATAATTAATCATGAATGAAAATAGGGCTGGGTCTTGTCCATATATTAAGCAAATACATGCAGAAGGCTTTCCATATAGAATAACTACAATGTTAAGTTATAAGAGACAGCCCCAGTTTGAACAGTGCTGGTAGATAGTTTTAATATGCAAGAGAGGACACATATTAAAAATCTAAAATTTCCCATTTTTGGTTGAAATCATGCAAATTGTGCGACAAATGAAGCATAGATACAGTTAAGCAAAGAATTAAAATTTCCATTCATATTTTACATAAGGATACATTTTAAAATTAATATTAATTTTCAACCAACTTGTCATTTCGTTTATAGTACATACAGACAATTCAGCAACACTAATGAAAGCATCTTTGGTTAGGCATATCTTCAGACATAAGTATATATATATTCAATTTGATATGCTTCAAATACTTCCAAATAAATCAAGACAGAGACTAGTCTCTCTACAGCAGTTTTCTGGGGCTTGTGATGCAATGAGGATTGTGCTTGTCCATTAATGTGATATAGGAGAGTCTTGCAACTACATCTGCCATAGAGTGTTTGGCGGTCCTCCTCCAATGGCAGAGAGGAAAGTGATTGCTCCAAGTAGGAGGGAATTCAGTCTTCCAAGCTTCCTATTGGTTACTGCAGAAAAGTCACTGATGGAATTATTTATACTCTAATACCTTCAGATAGAGAAAAGTCAAACATGCCAAGACAGGCTGTGGATTTAGATGATCCAAACCTCTTCTGTTCTGACATGTCATTGGAAAATAAGAGCCAGAGAAATGTATTTCACTTCAATTATGAGAAGAGAAGTTTACAGAGTTGTAAAAAGTCAAATGAAAGATGGGACGTCACTTCAGTCCTCCTATCATATACATAGGTGGGGAAAAAGTAGTTTTGTTACTTTTATTTCTTCCTGGAATTGTTCCTTAATTGTGTTAATCATGTATCTTTAGTGAATTAAAATATACAGCTATTAATGTACATTTAAAAGTGAGAACATAGCCATTTATTTCTTATATTTATTGTTTAATCTTCATATTAGGAGTTCTCAATATCTATATTACTTTGTTTGGCTTTACCGTATTATTAATATTCCATATGATAAGCAGAGAGTTAATTTTGCCTGCTCTATATTTGGTCTATAAGTGCATCAGCTACTACTTATATATTTGTCAACTTCACATATATATAATATATATTTTTCTGATTTTAAAGTATGATTTAAATTATCTCTGCGCGCTACCTTGAAAATACTTAACGTGAGCATATTTGTATTTAGCAATATCTCCACAAAAGCTTTTTGTTTCGCCTTTGTCAAGAACTTTGTCTACATAGTTATGTACAGATAAACCATTCCGGCTAATGTACAAATAATAGTAGATAGAGGAACATTAAGCCTTCTTTAAAGGCTTGGTTTCACAAATTTCTCCAGACATGCAGAATAATACACATTTTTTGGAATGATATATTCCAGACACATTCCATGTTTAACAATTTCTTCAAGATTTATATATTTTCAGATTCAAAATATATGTAAATGAAGTTTTAGCAGCTAAAATCTTATATACTGATTTGCAGTTTGAACAGAGTTTGTGTTCACCAACATTGACTACAGCAATTTTCATAAGTCTACAGTCCTACTTCAATTGCATACTTTGATTTTGGGTAAATAGCTTCCCACTAGCAATGTAAGCAGCCAATTACATAATTTAGGCAGAAAAAGAAAAGCATCTGAGAATCATGACTGGTTGTGGATTTTGGCTTATGCCTAATTAAGCAAAGCGAAGCTTCACTTTACAAAAGATAGGAGACATAGTGGCACCTGTACCTTAGTATGATGAACCTACTAAAAACTTAGCCACCAAATATAAGTTTTCACCAACATTTCTGGATTTTAATAATTATAAGAGTAATTGATGGTCTTTTGAGTGCATAAGGTGCCATGTTCTAATTTCATATTTCACTTTCTTCCTCTCTATATGGCTCATAAACTTAGTTTTTATGAAAGTTTATATTCATTAGAGGATTTCCTGGAATCAAAATAAACTGTTTCATGAACCATACATTGGGAATCCTTCCCCTGATTAAAGCAGATTGCATAATTTGAATGCATTTGGAATGTTGAGAATCCCATCAGATTGGAATTATATGTTGGGTTCTTCCTTGTATTTTGATTAATCATTATTAATTGGGTGATACTGAAGCTTCTGATGAGTCAAGAGTGCCCAAACAAAGAGCTAATGTTGTCCTATCCCTAGGATAAAAAGGATAGGTAAGAAAAACATCCTAAAGCCATGCCAAACAACAAAAGTGAATGTATTTGTTTGGCAAGATTTTTGCCATATGGTACTGAGAATAGTTACAGCCCTTTGTTCTAAAGCTTGGTCTGAATACAGTTTAGTGATAATGGATTAAAACAAAGAAACCAGGGGTGAAATGCTACTGGTTCGGATCGGCTAAATCGGTAGCGGCACATGGTTCGGAGAACTGGTAGCGGCGGCAGCGCAAGGTTCTACCTACCTGCCCAGGTATCGTTACTTCCTGGTTTTAACCAGGAAGTAACCTGTTTTTGATGTGATGCATGCGCAGAGCACACACTTCCAAACTAGTACGGAATCAGTAAGTAGATTTCACCTCTGAAAGAAATGCACATTGATTTCTAGATTGTATTTCTTTGGATTACTCCGTTGGAAGAGGGAGACTTCTTCAATTTCCCTCTGGAGTGAAGAGATCTACCTTGAATATTCTTTGCCAACCTCTGTAAAAATGTTAAAAAATTGCTTGTTAACACCTGAAGTCCAATGTTGGGGGAAATGGAAGCAGGGAATATCCTGAAAACATATAGGTAGCCTTTTGGGGGCGCCTGACATGCTCTAAACCCATGATGGCAAACCTATGGCATGCGTGCCCAAAGTGGCATGTCGCCTGGCACGCGCGTCGCCTGTTCCTCTTCTGGGTTTCTGGCGCGCATGCACGCATGATGATCAGCTGGCCTTTTTGCATGCGGCAGTGCCAGAAACTAGAAGAGCTGGTCTTCCATTTTCCTGCATGAGCATGCGGACCGGTGCCAAAAAGGTTTGCCATCACTGCCCTAAACTTAAATCTTAATCTACACCAATTTTGCAGATGGTGGAGAACAACTTCCTCCCGTTGGTTTAAAAGAGAATAGGCACAAAAGAAAACGGGAAAAGAAAAAGAAAAGGTCTGGGGGGAAAAACCAAATGAAATGCTGTTTTCTTTTCCATCTTGCTGCAGTCTGAGGACTCTTCCCATGAGGCTCTGGTTCTAAACACATGAATATATATGTACAGACTTGGACTGTAGAACTCCAGATATCTCCTTATACTAATAAATAAGAAATAGAAGTTTTTATATACGTGGCTATAGGCCAATTCAATTATGCACTCTTTTATATGCCTTGACATTCCTTTTCATAAGACAATTTGAATACTGTGACTATTTAGATTTGCTGTTGAAATTATCAGGGATGCCTCACATGTTCACTTCAGGATCAGAAGAGAGGTATGTGGGGTCAAGCCTGGGCAAGTGCAAAGCATTCAAGTTGATTCAAGTCTTGGGTGTGTGTATGTGTGTGTGTATGTGTGTGCAAAGCCTATAGAAAAACATATGCAAAGAAAGGAGAGATGCGTTCTTGCAAGCAAAGAATGCTATCACTTTCAATATGAATGAAGCAGTGAATCATTAAACTGCTATTGGGTGAACCCAACTTACTACAGTGCAAAGTATTTTCCCCAAGACCCTTTTTGATTGTGTGCAATTTTTTTTTAAGCAGCCTGGGGGGGGGGGAATAATTCTAGGAAAAAAAGTAGGCCAACTTAAAGATCTTGCCTGCTAATGTTAAGCTTTTGTATGTAACAAAGGTGATGCAGAAGATTCCCCATTGCATGCTAGATACAGGTTGCACTGAGTTTTGTACCAAATTAGCAGAAGATTTGGAAGCATGCAGGCTTCAAAGCACATGGATTTGCTGACTAATAACAAAGGGTATTTTCAGCTGGTTCTGGATGCATTGATGGGCCACAGAGAAAACGTACTGGGTAGATTGATTGGGTTGTTTTGCTTCAATTCAACCTTTGCTTAGAGCAGAAATCTGGTCATCCTCATGCTCTGAAATCATAGACGTAACATCATGTATAAAATATATAGCAATATAAAAATATAATACTTCATTCAATACTACAGCTTCTTTCCCAATGCATTGTCAAATTAATAAGGGAGTTTAGTGTTCTCTTTGTCAACTGCTGAAGGAACAGTTGGTCTGAATGACAATGTACATTGATAGTCCCAACAGTCTCACTTGAAGAGGTACTCCTTTATATTTTTCCTCTTTTCCCTTTTTTCTGCAAGTAAATATATGTGACTACAAGTTGAAATAAACCAAAATAACTTAAATAGAAGAATCAATCCTCTCTTGGCGTCGCTGCATGATTTCCTCAAGTTCTGATTTCTCTCTATTTTTCTGTTAAGAAAAAAAAGATAATGAATTTTATTTAAAAAAAACCCATTACCTATGTAAGGCAAATCACTTTAGTAATTTAGCATTTTCAAGAGTGAGTTCACTACTATAGTTTCTTCTCTCCGATTTCTCAGAAGCAATTTGAGATGACCTGCAATTGTCTTCTCTTCCAGCAATCTCAAATTTTAAACAAAGAATTATTGTCATGCTCTGACTTGCCAGAGATTCAAAGCTATGTCCTGAGCTGCTGCAGTTCCTGCAGAAAAAACACTCTCCTTACTCCTCTTCCTGCAAAAATGAAATAAACATTGCAGCCAACCACTGCAAAACCTTGATTCAAGGTGAGCGTTTGTCCAGAAGTATACACATATATAATATCCCGGTGGATTCCATTAAAGCGAGCTAAAAAAAGTGCAAGCCACATTATTACTTTAAAGTTAAATCTGCCGTTTTACTATAGAAAAAATCTTTTTTTTTTACTGATTTTACAATACATGACAAAAACATATGAACTATAAGAGGTGCACATATAGAAAGTTAACAATTCAGATTTAAAATAGACATAAAATGCAAATATCCTTGGAGAGAAAATAAATTATCAGGCTCACCAGACAATGAAATAGCTAGCAGAAATAACTACTGCAACAAATTTAGGAGCCCATCTGGACAAATTTTGTAATCTATGAGCTAAAATGAGGAAAATAATTTCCCCCTTTGATTAGGCATGCTTGTAGTTAAGAAAGGTGCTTTTAATTCAGCACTATGTCATATAAAAGGGAATTGCAAGGAGATATATGGTATAAAATTGTTTAGAATAGAATAGAATAACAGAGTTGGAAGGGACCTTGGAGGTCTTCTAGTCCAACCCCCTGCCTAGGCAGGATACCCTACACCACTTCAGACAAATGATTATCCAACATCTTCTTAAAAACTTCCAGTGTTGGAGAATTCGTAACTTCTGGAGGCAAGTTGTTCCACTGATTAATTGTTGTGTCAGGAAATTTTCCCTTAGTTCTAGGTTGCTTCTCTCCTTGATTAGTTTCCACCCATTGCTTCTTGTTCTACCCTCAGGTGCTTTGGAGAATAGCTTGACTCCCTCTTCTTTGTGGCAACCCCTGAGATATCGGAACACTGCTATCATGTCTCCCCTAGTCCTTCTCTTCATTAAACTAGACATACCCAGTTCCTGCAACCATTCTTTATAATTATCCTTGAGTCCCCTAATCATCTTTGTTGCTCTTCTCTGCACTCTTTCTAGAGTCTCCACATCTTTTTTACATTGTGGCGACCAAAACTGAATGCGGTATTCCAAGTCTGGCCTTACCAAGGCATTATAAAGTGGTATTAACACTTCACGTGATCTTGATTCTATCCCTCTGTTCAGTGGTGAAATCTGAACCGGTTTGCTACCAGTTTGCTGGCTGTGCATGCGTGCTGTGCGCCAAGCGTGTGTTGCACACGCACATGTACACCAAACATGCACTGTGTGCGCATGTGCAGTGTGCACCAAATGTGTGCGGCATGCGCAGTGTGCACCAAACGCATGCTGCATGCACAAAGCAGGATTTCCTGCTTTCTAGCAAAGCTAAATTGTGTGGCACAGCTGATCCCCCCTCGCTGTTCTACTTACCTTCCCAAGCCTCCTTTTAGTGTGTACTGCGTGTGCGCATGTGCAATACATGCCAAAAGGAGGCTTGGGAAGGTAAGTAGAACAGCGAGGGTGGGATCAACTGTGCCGTGAGATTTAGCTTCTCTAGAAAACAGGATTTTCTGCTTGCTAGCAAAGCTAAACCGTATGGCACAGATAAACATCGGAAATACCAGTTCGGAGGAACCAACAGCTTTTTTTAACTACTGGTTCGACCGAACCGTTAACTTTTATCACTACTGGTTCGCCCGAACTGGAGCGAATCAGTAACATTTCACTCCTGCCTTTATTTATGCAGCCTAGAACTGTGTTGGCTTTTTTGGGAGCTGCTGCACACCGCTGGCTCATATTTAAATGGTTGTCCACTAGGACTCCAAGATCCCTCTCACAGTTACTTGAACTTGGACAAAGTTGTTTTTGCAGGAAAGTGGCAATTTTAGGCAGCGGTAAGGGATCTTTTGTGGGCCAGGCAATCGTTTTAGTGTAAGAGAACAGAAACTGATACAAGCCTGCATTATACATTGTTGGAAGATTGGTTTAATTCTGTAAATTAAAATGACACTGTTCAGGCTGTTTCAATTCCAACCAAGATCCAGCCAAATAAAGTCAATAAAGAGCTGATAGACTGCAATTCCTGCCTTTCATGTAAACATGCAATTATCCTGAAAAATCAGAAAGACGGGGGTACTATCAAAGAATGTAAATGGGTCTAAAACTTCAACCAATGATTTCATTTGGTCTCCAAAGAAATTAGCTCAAATTCCAGTCTCAACAGAGAGTAAGATAAAACAATGAGTTACTTGAAGCAAAGCCCTTAGAAATTTGAATTCGATTATCTTAATAGAGCTGGTACAAAATAGTAACATCCATGCATCATATAACTGAAACTTTTAACGGCACTAAACATGCTTATTATCTTTATAATTGGCAAAATGGAGGATGGTATTTGAAAACTTTTGGGGCTGGGGGCAGGTTAACCCTTATTTGTTCCAGATTATCAAGGCTTGGAAGGAGACACTTAGATATCAAAATACTCTCATCTGATTCATGTTAAAGCAATTAATTTCCCAGGAATAGTGGTGTGTAACGATTAATTTGAAGAAAATGACTGTGATTTTAAGCATCTGAGCTGGAAATAATTGGCTTTGCTATTGGACATTGTTAAGATCATAGGATCACAAAGGTCCAGAGCAGCTTTCAAAGTGGCATAGACAAAAGGTCTAAAGTTAAAAAAAAGAGAGGGGGGGGGACCGGAATAAAATGTAGGGATTATTGTTAAATTACTTTTATTAACCCTATAAAAATGCATTTTATTTGGAAGATACATTCAGTTCTTAAATGTTATAAGTTAAATTCTGTTGTAGCTGAAAGTAGATGAATCATAAAGTACCTCAATGATTCTCAACTTTTTATTTACCACAGACCCACTTTAAATATCTTTTGTGGCCATGGACCCCGAAGACTTAACTCAAGTTTTAAATCATAGCATTTCTTCAAGCCTTCTCAGATCCCCTGTGACAACATCGTGAATCCACAAGTTGAGAACTACTGAACTACCTTATCAGCACAGCAATAAAGTCTGCTTTAAAGGGGGATGAGGTGGCTCAGTAGCTAAGATGCTGAGATTGTCGATCAAAAGGTCGGCAGTTCAGCGGTTCAAATCCCTAGTGCCGCGTAATGGGGTGAGCTCCCGTTACTTGTCCCAGCTTCTGCCAACCTAGCAGTTCGAAAGCACGTAAAAAATGCAAGTAGAAAAATAGGGACGATCTTTGGTGGGAAGGTAACAGCGTTCCATGCGCCTTTGGTGTTTAGTCATGCCAGCCACATGACCACGGAGACATCTTCGGATAGCACTGGCTCTTCGGCTTTGAAACAGAGATGAGCACCACCCCCTAGAGTTGGGAACGACTAGCACATATGTGCGAGGGGAACTTTTACTTTTAAAGTCTGCTAGTTTATCTGTAATGCTTTAAAGCATCAACATCTTCCCAGGATTTTGAGATAGCCCTCAAAGTATTAACAGTCTTAAAAGATTGTGGACTGAGTTAACAATGTCACTACCCATCCTTTAAATTATGGCTGTGATCATCAAAGGGTTGCTATTTTAGGAACCTTACCTCTAGAATAGACCTTTGCACTGTGATTTTGCTAAATACCCGGGCGCCTTCTTCTCCGCATACTTTTTTCAATTCTTCTTTGTTCAAGGAGAAAAGCTGTGCTCCTGTCAGTATGCCAAGATGGTCCACGGTTCTAAAAAAACATGTTAAGGGGAAAAAAGCATTATTGAAAGATGTACAAGGCCCCAGACATTCAACACTTTTCATAGGCCAGTTTGTCCTAAATTTATGGAAGATTATAATTAATTCTGTATCCTTGACATCTGTTCCAAAGGTTTCTGAAACTATGCCATGATCTCTTCTCTGAGAAAGGTCTGCATTCAGTCTTCATGAAGTATAAGAAATTTGAAAAGTGGACCAGTTTCTTAGAAATGAACTGAACTAAAGTAAACTAAAACTAAACTATGGTAATACATTTTTTTAAACCTCTTTCAGACCAAGCTGTTTTTGCCTCTTCTCCTGTGCCATTCTGAGCAAATAAAAAGATCCTTTACTGACATACATAAGTAGTGGGCAAACTACTCAAAGTCCTAGTCATCACTGTCATAGTTATGTAAACTCTAATCTAGAACCTTGGTAGTACAGTGGTCTAAGGCACCCTGTTATTAAGCTGGTTATTAAGACAAGCTGCCTGCAGTTACTGCAGGTTCGAATCTCGCCAAGGCTCAAGGTTGACTCAGCCTTCCATCCTTTCTAAGGTAGGTAAATTGAGGACCCAGTTGTGGGGGCAATAAGCTGACTTTGTATAAAATATACAAAAGGATGAAGGCTATTGCTGAGCACATTGTAAGCCGCCCTGAGTCTCCGGAGAAGGGCGGCATATAAATCAAATTAAAAAAAAAAAAAAAGCAGTTATGGGGATAACAAAACATCTTGATACACAAAGGCAGTGCCTCTCCTTTTTAGCTAGAATAGAACTAAGCATAATAAAACTATCCCTTAGTGATCTGCGGATAGTTTTTACATTATGATTTGCTGGAAATCCTGCACTAATCAGTAGAACATCCAAATGTAAGTAGAGATTATTTTGGCTGTTCTAAATCGAAAGTATATTTATATAATTCCCTTCACAGAAGAAAGTTCCCTTGAAACTGAAGAAGATGGTAATGCATGTGTTCAGCAGCAGTAACAGTTTATTTTTAGAAAAAACTTGATTTGCATCTGCAGATGTCTCTCTACAATTATTCCTTAACATCTTTCTGAGGAGGGTAATCTTTAAACACTGATTAATGTATGTATATGTGCTAGTCCCTTTGAGGGTAAGCAATATTATGCAGAGCACAGAAAAGGAGTAAGAACTAGCAAGCACCTCAGAAAAAGTCATGAGATTTAAAAAAAAAAAGGAAAGGAAATACAACTAAAATTACACTAACACCCTTCACCCTACCTCTCTTTATCATCCAGTCCTTACAAACCTACTACAGGCTTCCTACACTGCTTTTCGTTTTTTTAAAATTTCTCACCTCTTTCAGGATCACATCAACTTTCTCAGCCTTCCTCTTCCTCTCAATCCAATTACTCTTCCTTCATATACTGTATTGGCATCATAATATGAACCTAGATTATACTATCTAGATCAAATCACCATGTACTTATTTCATGCCAGTCATTAATTTTGTATTCCATCCACATTCATTAAATTCCATATAATCTTCAGCCCATCACTTGTTTTAACACACACATTCCATCTCACCACATTCAACTTATTTTTATATTTCTTGTGACATATCCAAACTTCACTGTCATACAAAAAAGCAGAAACACACACTTCGCACACCTATTGTCACTTTTTTTCACAAGCATTCTTTTTAATAGGACACATACCACCCATCCATTTCCTCATCTTTGAGAAACATTCAACTATGGTAGCTGCCAAATACAACAATTTCATCTTCAATATGGTAATTTTCAGATTTATATCACTGTTGCATCAAGACACATGTTAAAAGATCTCTGGGTAGCTCTGTGCTGCATTAAGTGCAACTTTTGCCTAGTATGTACAAATGAAATGTGCTTCCTCTGAATTAGAAACAAAGGCAGCCAAGCTGCTCCATGAGAAGAACAGATCCAAAATCCAGTTCTGCAATATCATTATTAGCACCAACTACTAAGTAAAAGGTCAGATCAGCATGTGTGCAAACTTTTCTATTTTCTGGAGATAACAGGCTAAAAGGGGATAAAGTAGGGAAAGGCTTCATTTCTGTACTGTTTCAATCCAAGTACATTTCTGTGTCACCTGAAGGCAAGATCTTACTGACAGCTGAGATTTATTGGGGACTCAATCAGAATTTCATCATCCCAGGATGATGCTAAGTGTAATCTTGTACCTTGTGTACCTTGTGGCAAACCATCATGATTTGGGGGATTTTTTCCCCTCTTTTCCTTCCCCACCTCTTGATTTTAAAGAATCTGAGAGGATGCTGGCTCATTGCTATGGCGCTTTACTGACCCTGTTAAAAATGTAAATGATATTTAAATTTTGATCTTTTAAATTCAAAAGTTATCAAAGATTTGAGGGACGTATAGTATGGAATGCAAAGACGTTTTTGTGCATTTTCTCCTGTTCCCTATTCTGCAAGAAACCTAATTGTTAAGAAACCTTTTTTTAAAATCCTGCTATCCCAATCACTTCACATTATCTGAAACAAAAATGAATCTGTTGCCCTATAGATGCATTAGACTTACTTCCATTATCCTTAGCAGTTGTAGGGAAGGGAAGGGAGAATTGCAAGAAATAAAAAAAGAAAAGATCTGGGGAGGCATAGAAACAGGAGAAGAGCCACTTACCCTTTGCTGAATGAATTTGCTTCCAGCCAAACTCTGACTTCCCCAGCATTGGATTCAAAGGTTAAGGGCACATGAACCTGCTGGGTCTTCTCTACTCTAAAATTCCTTTGAGGTTGCTGGATTTTGATATTTGTGATCTTTTTCAGCAATTCATCATTGACCTCGTCCATGTGATGGATCAATTCTAAAAAAAGAAATCGAAGAAAAATTATCCAAGTTCAGAAGAGACATCAGGCCTATCAATCTTTTAAAGCATGTTTTGTTGCAGAAAGTCTCTTCCTCATTTATTTGATTATATTTAAGCTGCATATAAAAGCACGTTTAAAGATGTCTGTTTCCAGCTACAAGTAGTCTTCGATTTACAACCATTCATTTAGTAACTATTTACAGTTACAATGGCACTGAAAAAAGTGACTTATGTTTTTCAGTCTTATGAGCTGCGGTGGCGCAGTGGTTAGAATGCAGTACTGCAGGCTACTTCTGCTAGCTGCTGGCTGCCTGCAATTTGGCAGTTCGAATCTTACCAGGCTCAAGGTTGACTCAGCCTTCCATTCTTCCGATGTCGGTAAAATGAGGACTCAGATTTCTGGGGTCAATATGCTGACTCTCTAAACCGCTTACAAAGGGCAGTAAAGCACTGTGAAGTGGTATATAAGTCTAAGTGCTATTGCTTTTGCTATTTTGACCATAGTAGCATTGCCAGGGTCATTTGATCAAAACTCAGACTCCTGGCAACTTGCATTTATTTATGTCGGTTTCACTGTCCCAGGGGCCCATGATCACCTTTTGCGACTTTCTAGTCAGCAAAGTGAATGGGGAGCCAGATTCATTTAACAACCATGTTACTGCCTTAACAGCTGCAGTGATTCACTTAAGAACTGTGGCAAGAAAGGTCATAAAATGGTGAAAACTCTCAGTTAGCAACAATGAATTTTGGGATCAGCTGTGGTCGTAATTTGAGAGCACAGCCCAAAATTTTCTTTCAAAGAGAAGTGTGCTCTTAAGTCTCTTCCATGCAAGTTGCATTTGCCCTGAAGCCTTTAAAATTAATTCTCAACCACTGTATCTAAAATCAGTACATTGAATTGTATTCCACGTGCGTTAAATTTGCACACCTACTATTGAGAACATTAAAATACGGGAGACAAACAGATGAACTGCCCTTCTTACCTTGAGGACAAGCAGCTATTGTCAACTTCAAAATGGTTCAGGCCTGTTACAGCCATCTTTCCATTTTTTTTTATTTTTTAAAAAAAATTGATTTATATGCCGCCCTTCTCCGGAGACTCAGGGCGGCTTACAGTGCGTTAAGCAATAGCCTTCATACTTTTGTATATTTTATACAAAGTCAGCTTATTGCCCCCACAAACTGAGTCCTCAATTTACCTACCTTAGAAAGGATGGAAGGCTGAGTCAACCTTGAGCCTGGCAAGATTCGAACTTACTTTAATTGCAGACAGCTGGTGTTAAATTACAGTGCCAGTGCCTTGTCTGCAGAGCTATCCAGGCTCCATTTCTCAAATTGCGGGGGGGAGTCTGGAATGTCAGACCAGACAACAACAGACCATCCTGTAAGATGGTCATCTCAACAGTTGCTGGCCAGAGACTGAGGGGAGTTGCCAAGGAGATGCCAATCAGTGGAACAAGTTGTCTCCAGAAGTTGTGAATGCTCCAGCACTGGAAGTTTTTAAGGAGAGATTGGACAACCATTTGTCTGAAATGGTATAGGGTTTCCTGCCTAAGCAGGGTTTTGGACTTGAAGACTCCAAGTCAACTCACTGATCTGAGTTGAAAGATCAGAATATTTTGGCCAGTATTAATAATATAAATTTCTTTTAAAATATGAAATATATTAGTTCAGATTACATGGGTACTTACGTCCTTTGGCTTCTGAAGAACTGTGGGCTGCCATTTCACTTCCCCATTTGTCGCCAGCATAGCTAGGAGGTAATTTATGGGAAGGACTGGAAGATCCAGATGCTCGTGGACTCAAGTCTCGGTATTTCTGATTACTCTACAAAATGTCCAATGATTGTTTTTGAGTTATTCAATCATATTTCTATTATCCTTCATTCCTTATTGCTTGATAAGAAAGTATAATCATTTAACTGATGTAAAACCTTGGTTTATTTTTTTCTCCAGTTATAAAATTCCAATCATTGATCTGACATTATTAAGAGATAATTTCAACCTTCAGCTGCTTAGGACATCTGCTTTTAATGGCATCTGAGATACTGATATGCTGGAACATTATGATGGACATTAATATATATCTATATAGACAGATATTTCTATGAATAACAGAACAGAGATTTTGATTCTCTCTGGAAATGTATTATTAAAGCCGTCCACAGAAATGAATACTTCTTTCAGTATTTGTGAGATGGGTGGCTACATAAATATGATTCATTTATTTAATGAATGCATCATTATTGCAGAAAACTCATGATTTTTGTGCCCAGGTTGCACCCTAATTCTTTAGGAAAATTTTTATCCTTTTAAACTACTTTTGTAAAAAATATAGAAGTGATTGTTCATACGTTCACCAGGAATTGAATCTGGCATATGGTTAGAAGGTCAATTTAGGGTCAATGAGTATTTTGTCTACCGTACCTCACAGAATTGCTTTGAGGAGAAAGGAGGAAGATACATATCTATGTAATTTCCGCTGTTGTTTTAATAAAGAGAATTATTAAAGAGAATTTTAAAGCTCTGTGTGTGTGTGTGTGCGTATGTGACTAAAATATGATTTCCTTATAGTTAAGAAAAATTAATAGCCAGAATTATTTAGGGAAGCATATCTATCAAAGTAACCTATGTGATTTTGTGTTTAATTTAAAGAATTACGATATTAATTTAAGAACTAAATCAGACCTGCTCCATTGCGGCAAAATCCTCCGAAGTCACCAGATCTAAAATATTATATGGAACATAACCAGCCTGTCCACTTCGGTTTTTCAGCTTCCACCATTGTTTGTTATCTTCCAACACCTGTGAATAAAAAAACAATTTATCTGCTAGAAAAGGTTATGTTCTATGATTTGTTTAAACATCTTCCTCTGGAATCTTTACTTTCCAGGTAGTCCTTGATTTAACAACCATTCATTATTGACTGTTTGAAGTTACAATAGCACTGAAAAAAGTGTTTTAGGACTACGTCCTTACACTTACAGCCATTGTAGGATCCCCACAGTCACAAACCTGGCAATCAGCATGCATTTATGATGTTTTCAGCATCATGTGATCATCATTTGTGACCTTCCCAGCTGGCTTCTGACAAACAGAATCAATAGGGAAGGCTGGATTTGCTTAACAACCGTATTATTCACTTAACTGCAGTTACGCACTTAACAATCATAGCAAAAAAAGACTATAAAATCAAGCACAATTCACTTAGCACCCGCTTTACTTACCAATGGAAATTCTGGGTGTAATTCAAAGACTACCTGTATATTCCTTGCACAATTAAACTGATATCACTCTTTACATTCTTGAGCACATAATTATTTCTATTCTGTAAATACCCTGGAATGTTTTTTCCCCCCCTGAGAATATATTATCACTTTCAAATAATTTACAGAAAAACCTTACTAGTAAATAAGTGAATTTCCATCCTATCTGCTTTTTAATCTTCTTTCCCTAATGTCCAGTGCCTCCTGTCCATTCAGCTTTAAGAATGACTAGTGAGCTCGAAAGCTTAATAGTGGAATGGGCCAACTTGCCGCGGCCAACTCAATGCAGGACAACTCGCAGCAGGACAATTTAACAATTCTATTTAATTATTTAAAATAAGTAAAAAATATTTTAATTTTTGCCATTCACATTTCATTCTGTCCCTCCCTTTTGCGTCCTTTCTTTAATGATTCTATTCCACTATTTCTTTGATATTAGTGTAACTCTTGTCCCACAGTGAGTTCACCATGACAAGTTGGCCGTGATGAGTTGGCCATGGAGAATTGTCATAGACCCTCCCATAGATAGGTGCCTTCTCCATGGGAGAAAGTTAGTGCTGCAGAGCATTAAAGTGCAGATTTCCTTCTCTCTCCCACCTGCCCTGAAAAAAATCTCACATGGAATATTGTGTGTGGTGGATTGAAGGATCCATTCAAAGCTCGTGTGATCATGCCCGCCTCCCACTTCCCTTTTCCAGTTATTTGCAAGGATCTTGGATTCATCCTTTTACCTCCAGAATTTCGTCTTTCAGCACTGACAGTTCAGTTGCATTTCGAGCAGTGAAATCATAAAGAATTTTGGCATATCTCTTTGACGGAGCCATACCCTGTGCCTCAAAATTCCTGCAAGAAAGATAATGTAGGGGGAGAGCCAGATTAGTCTATTATGGCAAAAAAACATTGGTAGCATGTTTGTCAATTAACAAATCTCTAGTTAGAATTTAATTCAAATTTTTATCAAAATTGGCTAGTTGAAGACGATGCTAATGCCTTCTGATTTTTTTTTTCAAAAAAGATATAATAGCATTATCACAGCATTATGACTAGTCAGAATAACTCATGGCCTAATTTAAAACATGTTAAATGATACACCAGTACATTTTCCCAGTTTTTTTAAGCTCATATGCTACAGTTCCTGAAAAAAATTAAACTACACATTATATCAACAAAATAAAGTAATAATAAAGTCTGCCTGTAAAAGTAATTAAAACAATAACTCTTCAGAACATAGTTTTAGTTCATATTACAAAATACTTTTCTTAAGGTAAGCAAGCCAGACCTTCAACATCATAACTGCAACCCCAATTCTCCCAAGAGTTGGAATGAAATTTGGCAGCATACAAATGTGTGAAATAACAGAGTTAACAATTAGAAGACAGCAGCTGGATTCCCTGTTTGCCTGTTTGTATTACATTGGAATAGATAAAAGAGAAAATATTAGCTTTGATGGGCTGATGTTTGAAACCAAGGCAGGCAACATCATCTTACCAGGAGAAAAGGTAATCTTTTCCAGAAATGGCTCCCAACAAGAGAAACATAAAGACGCCCAAACAGGAAAAGGAGAATGATATTTAAGTTGGTGTAAACAGAATGAGTCACTGGAAAGAACGGTGGAGACTAGGAGAATGCTTTCATTGGATAAGTGACATTGAAATCTGTTCAAAAATACTCTGAATTACTCTGCATCACTTGTGAACCCTACTGTGAAGGACACTGATCATCATATATTCATTTATACTAACAAGATTATTCTTAATATTTTTCTTCATCCACAGAAATGTCCGTTTAAATATAGTGCTAATCATGGATATTTAAGCCTATTTAAGATTTTTAAGATCACACATATGTTGGTATTTTTTCTTCTTCCTTCCTTCCTTCCTTCCTTCCTTCCTCATTATCTATCTCTTTCTTTCTATTGTTATTCTTCTTCTTCGGGTTCTTTGCTAGTTTCAAAAACTCTGTAATCCTTTTTGTCTTGTTTTATGTCTTCAGTTAAAAAGATAAAGGAAAAAAACCACTTGAGGGCAATTATTTCATCCTTCCACAGTTACATAGTTAAGCCCCACAATATGTCCACTAAGGCTGGGGAGTACAATCTGAGGTCCCAGGGTGGCTGCAATCACTCAAAATGTTAGCCACAGACTTCATTGAGTCCCAACCTGATTACCATTGAATGATTTAACATGACAGAAAGAGAAAATATTCAATACACAAAGAGTATGGTAATCACATTAAATTCATTTATATCAAATACTAAATCAAGTTGTGTGTACAGTAGTTTTTGCCCTGGCGTCATCCAATTGCAAGAATGCAGCTCCCAGCTTGGCCTCTCAACCTAAAGTTGTGTTATTTCTGAAAAGACAGATCTCCAGAATGTTATGACATCAGCTACTCACATTTTTTCATCCCACAAATGAAACAATGAAAGGAAAATACCTATTTACATGTTGAGTAACATGCTGAGCAAAGGCATCCATCCCTTGCTTTTGGTCCGAAGTCTGGACTGGCTTCAAGTGGCGATTGGGACACCCATTGGATGATGACAGCTTCCAAGGAGAGGAAGAAGAGGAAGAGACCAGAACATTATTAATTTTGTGCACATCCCAAAGGAAGTTCCGCATTTTTATCAATCAAAATCATAATATGAAAGGAGTCCCAAAGGTACTTTTTCAGGAGGCAATTGGATTTTCTTGTTTTTTCTTTGAAGATGTTTCGCTTCTCATCCAAGAAGCTTCTTCAGCTCTGAATGGATAGTGGGGAATGGAAGGATTTATATTATCCTGTCAGAGCTGAAGAAGCTTATTGGATGAGAAGCGAAACATCTTCAAAGAAAAAATAAGAAAGTCCAATTGCCTCCTGAAAAAGCACCTTTGGGACAATCACAACCTGGATGACTGAGAATCTCTACAGACGAATATGAAAGGTGGTATTTTCACTAATATCCGTTTCCAGGAGGTCATACACAAGTATATAAGAGTATTTGTAAGAGGGCAAGCCTGCCTGACTGCCAAACTATCATTCCTATTGTATGAATAATCTCATGAAGTGGTATGAAATCCAGTTATAAGTTTGCAACTAGCTGGATCCTCTGAAGTTTCTAAACATGGATTTAGGCTTCAGTACTTCAGCATTGACTAAAAAGGGGAGAGGAAGAGGTAGGTTCTAAGAACTACCTATGGACAGACACAAAATGAGGGAGAAAGAGAGTAGTTCAGGGGCAACTAAAATCTCATTCCCTCCCCCATTTCACACATTTTAAAAAATCAGTATCTCCCCCTCCCTCCAACTATGTCAAAGATCTGTGTGCCAAAAATTCCCAAGCAGATTGATTTACATCCCGGTTAGTTCAAAGAGGGAGGGGGGAAACTGAAAGAGCTCTTGTTAATTTCATCCTGGTATCTTGCTTGGGCTGCTATGCTCTTGGAACTGTTGCATAGGTCTGCAGAATCAAAACAATGCAAATCAACACTTCCTTTTAAAGTGGTATGATGAGCAAGGTAACTTGCATTTGGTCATATACAGAAATATCTAAGTGGTTATTAAAAAGAGGGTTAGTTATCTTTCCCTTTTATGGGTGGGAAAATAGAATGCTATGTTAGCTCAGCCATTGGGAGGTGAAATGAGGCAAGATTTCCACCAGCAGGAAAACAGAGACTTATAAAGTTTTGAGAATTTCACTGCTGGAAATAAAAAGAGATGGGTTTTTTTCTGGTTTGTTTGGCGAGTCACAAACAAATCAGCTCAGCTGCTATACACAACAATGACATGAGAACACAAAGATGCAGATTGATTCTGGAACAGTGCAAATAAATCACATGGGCGAGACTAGGAAGTGCTTAGCTAGATTGCTGAAAGTTAGCTAAGTATCAAAAATGTTCAAGATGCCTTGAATGATTAATTCACCTCCCTATTTTTTTTTAAAAAAATAATACAAATTCATAGATTTGTTTATCTACTTTAACAACAGTAGTGTATTTGGCTCACAATTTGAATAAAAAGCTAAATAGAAGGGAGGAGAGAGGAAGGAAGGAAAGGAAAGGAAAGGAAAGGAAAGGAAAGGAAAGGGGAAGGGGATCCACAAAGTACCTCTTCTTGCAAATGGCCAATATCGATTTCCCATGGAGCCCCACGAAAGATTTCCAGGGGTGGCTCCCATCCGTTGTGAAACTTTGGAACATATCTTGGGATGTTGGCATCTCTTGGCCATTCGGCTCTTGAAAGACATATTAAAAATAAGTTTATTTTCTAGGGAGCAATAACATACACAACCCTTTCCCATTTCAGATTACTAGTTTTCAAAGCTGAGCATCTTTTTGGAACACCAGCATCCTGATTGCTTAGCTCACATACAAATGTTACTAATGACCTTACAAAGCTAGATACAAAACAACCATTGCTCACAACGTGGATAGCCATCCCACTTCCTGGCTGTGGTCCACAAGTGCTTTTGGGGTCTCTATGGTTTTAAATTCATGAGGAGAGGCGCTAGCAAGGAAGAAATGTTAATGTGTGTTTCATTGCTAAAGGCCTCACTTTTTAAATCAGGGAAATTCTTGCCTTCAGTCTACATTATTTCTGTTCAGATAGCATTTTCACCATCTTCAGCCAAGGAAGGCATTATTTTGAAGGGTGACTTATGTTAGTTGTGATAAAAAAACAAGAAGAATAGAGAATCATATAGACATTCAAATGGAACTGATAAATAAAATGGACAAATATTCCCTAAAGGAGATATACAACTTTTGAACCAGGAAATGGACTTCGATATTTTTTTATTACTACATATACAAAAGAACTCTAATAAGGTCTTGTAAGACTCTATTGGAGGGGACAAACGAAAGGATGAATGTTATTTACTGGATACACAAAAGAAATCTGTTAAATTTCTGAAAGAATTGCGGCTCCAACATGAATAAAAAACTAGCTCTTTGAAGGGACTAAAAATGAGATTCTTAAAAACTCAGGGAAGGTTTACAAAATTAGCTTATTCAATCAGAGCTAAAAGAGAAAAAATAGTTGTATCTGGTTTCCCTTACTGGACTTTTGCTAACAAAGAACAATTGACAAAGTATTTGGATTTTGGTTTTTACTTACAAGATGTGCTATGGAATGAAGTGAAATTATGTATTTAGAGATAGAGATGAACTATTAAAATTGCCTTTAGTTGCTGGGATGAAGGGCGAAGTTAATCTTTGTTTTCATTTTTTCACACTTATTTTTCTTTTTTTATTTTACTGTTCGTATTTTTAATAGTTTTATTTGGTGTTGCTTTTATTGTTTTCTATTATAAAATTAGTCTGGAAGAATCCTTCTTTGGGTTCCTCTTCCGCTTTTTGCTTTATTTACATACCTTGACCTTGTCCAAGTCTCTCCTAAGGATTCCCACAATACCATTTCCTTTGGTGTTAGATGCCCTTTCAGAAAATCTGTAGTATCCTTTGAAAGAAGTGGACTGATGATAGACCTTGCAAATTCAGGGCCTCCACTACTGTTAACAATCTGGATTACAAACAAGAAATCACAAATGAGAATTTCCAATAATCTTTTATGGTTAAAACGTTTGGAAGTATTAGGCCTTTTCAGGTACTTATGACAATTGAGACCAAAATTTCCATTGGTACGTGAGACAATTGTTAAGTAAATTTTGACCCATTTGATTACCGCAGATGTTAAGTGAATCACTGCAGTTGTTAAGTTAGTAACATGGTTGTTAAGTGAATCTGGCTTCCCCATTGACTTTGCTTGTTGGAAGGTTGCAAAAGGGAATCACGTAATTCTGGAAACTGCAACTGTCATAAATAAATGCCAATGGCCAAGCATTCAAATTTTGATCCTGTGACCATAATGCTGCAGTAGTCATAAGAGTGAAAAACAGTCATAAGACAATTTTTTCAGTAGCACTGTAACTTTGAACGATCACAAAATAAATGGCTGTAAATCGAGGACTACCTGTATTTAAACTGCTAGATTAGGAAAATATCTGAAATCAAAGCTTAGCCATGGACTTTTACTTCCAGGTTGGTGCCATGCCAAGATATTGTTTTAAATAGCATTTGGGTGATAAATAGGAGTTAATGTACTGTTTACTGGATGCTCACGGCATGTTTACTTTTCTAAAGTCCATATTTGCAATACAGACACAATTGAGTGCAAAATGCACTACGCTACTCAAGTGAATGGGTTGGTGCCATCTAAATCCTCCAGAGAATGTGTTATGTTAAGAATGTTGCCACTGACGGCAATGGCTGAGATTCAGCTGAGGGAGATGCAGTTTTTAAGTAAAGTTGTAAGTCAATACATAATAAACACATTTCAGGTGCAGTTCCAATTTTACTCAGTTTTATCATTCAAAAGTATGGTCATTTAATTTTCTTTACACCTCTATACCAGGCAAGAGCCCAAGATCAAAAGTTTCAATTACGGAATGACTAATGTTAGGCTTATCAATGTTTGAAAAATTAACCGCAAAGAACGTTAAATGCTATTGTTGTAGCATAAGAGTTTGATGAAGCGGGTTCATGTGTGTCTGCAAAGGAGAAGAGTGGGGAGCAAGTATCCAAAGGTGTATTCTGCCATCAAAACTCAAACCCAATTGCTTATATACTTGGGGCACAATTAAAGAAGGCATTGTATTGTCACATAGTTCTATTGTGGAATCATATCTGTGAGAGATTATGGGAAGGCTGGAAAGGGTGCATAAAGAGATAGAGGGGGAGTCAGTTGATATTTTATCCCATAAATGGCAGTTTACGCTTAGGTGGAGAGAAATCTGAGCCATTCAAAGCCATTTTTCAGCCATTCAAAGGGACACTGCCTTAAAAGAACTCACTATAAAGGAGGCTGGGAAATTCCATGTACTGTATAGTTATCAAGATTTTGTATTTACCCCAGACTACCTTCCTATTACAGAGCTTGACAACCATGTCTTGTTATTTTTTCCATCATTGTAGTTAGTAATGAATGGCTATGAATGGAATGTTTTGCAACAATGCATGTTATACTTTAAGATAGCAACAGCATTTAGACTTAGGACTTAGACTTATATACCACTTCACAGTGCTTACCAGCCCTCTCTAAGCAGTTTACAGAGTCAGCATATTACTCCTAACAATTTGGGTCTTCATTTTACTGACCTCAGAAGAATGAAAGGCTGAATCAACCTTGAACCAGTGAAGATTGAACTGTTGGCAGTCGTCAAGAGTTAGCCTGCAATACTGCATTCTGACCACTGGGCCACCACAATTCTTGTAAGAGTCTTGTATTGTATTGTAAGAGTCCTATTTTTGCTGGAAAAGGCTAATACAGCTACCTTTTAAAAATTGTAAAAATCTCTGTAACCACAGATTTTTCTTTTAAGAAAGAATGTTCTGTTTTCTCTGCTTTTTTATGGTACACAAAATAGTCACATGCCTCTCCAGAGAAATAAATACACAAGTTGACTCATTAGATATGATAGCCTTGCTATTTCTATTCTCAGATATTATGGGGAAACTGAAGTCAATCCTCTCAACTTGTCATGAGCCTTTCAACCTCCTAGGTTACTACTTTGGAATACTGTAAATCAATCCCTAATCTGGAATAGATGAATCTTTAAACAGGCTAGAAAAATGTAATATGTGTCAAAAACATGCCTATTGCTGGTTGAGTTACCATTCTCAAACCTACTCCCAAAAACTACATGCAACGGTTAGAATTCAGGGAATCAGAAGTCAACATATCTGGATGCCATTAGATGAGGAATGCTGGATTAAAATTTATTATTGAATAAGGGAGAAGGTAATTTATACCAGTTCCAGTGGTCCAAACAGGAAATGGACTAATTCTGAAGCACTTGGATTCTGAATATGTTTTTTCAGTTTGACCTGAGAAGAGAAGAAAAACAAGTTAAATCTAAATCTTTTTTATATTCAACTATGTTATAAAACTGTTCAAAAATAAATAAATAAAAAATTAAGCAACTCCAAGAAATGGAGAACTCCAAGAAGATATCCACCGTATTTCAATCCAGATGGTGTAAACTATTTCTCTCTAAAGTAACATAAATCATACAGTCAGGTTCTTGTACAAAGCCAAATTAGGTACTGTATTATGACTCTACCTTATTCCCATGATCAAGTGGGCAGTTGGCCTCTTGGCATTAGATCAACTATTGCAGGAATTACTAAGATTAACTTGATCCCACTTAATGTAGAAGAGTTCTTTTGAGGTTTCCAAGGAACATACAGTTGTATTGTTAGTCAAACATTGTTTAATTAGCAAGAGCGTGTTTAAATTGTATAATGGGTTTGCTTTACTGCAGCTGCATTGATTGTAGTTCACTGGGCAGCCAAAGCTCCTGCAATGTAGCACCTGAAAGAGCTAAACTGCAAAGGAAACCCTATGAGTTGCTTTGTTCATTGGTATTGATATGGGACTTGGACAGATCTATTCGTTATACTGGAAAGAATGTGCTACCTATTTTCACAAGACTCAGTAGATAGATAGAAGCAGTCTGGCAACTGCTTGTGTAGCCTTGACACTTCTCCCATTCTGCAAGCAGCAGTCTCGCAACTGCTTCATAGCCTTGACACGTCTGCTATTCGGCAACAACCAACATAACACTGTAGTAAATCACAGTAATTTACTGTGAGATGGCGGCCATATACAAGTAGTTCTCGACTTACAACCATTTGTCGAATGACCGTTAGAAGTTACAATAGCACTGAAAAAAGTGACTTATGACCATTTTTCACACTTACAACCATTGCAGCATCCACATAGTCCTGTGATCAAAATTCAGATGCTTGGCAATTAGCAACAATATTTATGAAGGTTGCAGTGTCCCAGGATCATGTCATCACCCGCTGATAGGGGAAGCCAGATTCACTTAACAAGCCTGTTACTAACTTAACAACTGTAGAGATTCAGTTAACACTTGTGGCAAGAAAGGTCATGAAATAGGGCAAAACTCATTTAGCAACTGTCTTGTTTAGCAACAGAAATGTTGAGCTCAATTGTGGTTGTAAGTTGAGGACTTCCTATACGTTTGATTAATTAATAAATAAACAAATAACACAACATAGTAAAAATCAGATGTTGTATCCATTCATCCATTTGTCTACCTACCCATCTACTTGGGATTATTTCCTCCAAGACTCAAGACACTTTACAAGGCATTCCTCCACCCACCTTCTTTTCCCACATAGCATTCTTATCAGGGAGGGCTTGCTAAGAAAGAAGGAATTTCCAGGACTGAAGGTAAATTTGAACCTGCCTTGCCAAGTTCCATAACAATGCCTGAACCACCATATCGCACTACCTCTTATATGACACACATGGTAAGGTTGCCTTAAGATTTGCACAGGTACTGAACTAGCATATTAACCATGTGATTTGCCACTAGTGCAACATTTGCCAAAAGGGTAATGATCTTGCATACGGCACACATATTATTCGGTTTTGTACAGTTTCTACCTCTCTAAGTACATTTTTAGTCAAATGCTGTGGAGGGGAAACCTATTCTGTTTTTTTCTCTCTCAAGTACAAGAATATCATACTGTCAGAAGATTCTCAGAAAGAATTGATGTGTTTTTTCTTCTGTATGACAGTCAAGTGTCTCTACTAAGCAGGATAGTTAAGTACTTTGTCCTCCCTGCTTTGGCTTGATTTTAACAATGAACATGCAGAATGAACAGTTTTTGAACAAATAGTCAATAATCAGCACTTGGCTGGGGATGATGTGAATTGTAATCCAACACATCTAAGAGCTCAGGGTTTGGCAAGGCTGGGGTAGGGACATGCTGAGAATAACCAGTTTGAGGATAACCATTTTTGACTTGAGCAAAACTAGGTCTTGCCAACACCTCAGGTTTTTTTTAGAAAGGTTTTAGGGGTCACATTTAAGAATTTGACTGGATGATTGGTGGGAACAAGTTTAAATTTTTCTTTGCAAACAATTGTTGCATTCAAAATTTTTGCTTCTCCCTTTTCATGGACCAATAGAAGCAGAAATGAGACTTCATTATGTGACATGACATGTGACATGTATACAAGTGCAAAATCAGTGCAAAAGAGTATTTGTCCTATATGCTGATATTTTGTGACTGGATATTTTTGGGGATCTTCCTTTAATATTGCCTTTGACTGGTTGTCACAGCCTCCAGCTCCCATGTACATAAAGTGTCTCTCTGAGGGTAATTCTCAATGCATCTTATGAAATGGATCAAATGACACAAAAACTAACGCTCGACTTTGTGACTTTTTAAAGTGTCAGCTGCAACCTTGTGCTTTATTTTGGCAACTTTGTAAAGTTGTTTACTACTTTCTACTGAGATTCTCAACTCTTTGACTATATAAGCATAATATTTGGTTGATTTCCAATAACAGCATGAAGCAAGCAACTATGCCATTATCTATCTAGTTGAGACAACATTATACCCAACGCCCTTTGCTTCTTACCAGGAGATTTAGTGCCAGCTTGATTTTCTGAAAGCAGTCCAGAAACTCGGTTTCATGTGGAGGTCTTGCACGCAGAGTCAGAACTCCCTCTTTAAATCAAAAGATAATAAACACATTTTTTTAAAAAAAAATTGACACTCCCGTGCATGAAGAAATATTAATGTGACGTGCTGACCATAATAATCTACATTCCTTGAGGGCACTAAGTGTTTGAAATATCAATCTCGCCCAACTGGATGCCCTTCAGTGCAATGGCTTATAACTTCCATCATTCCACAGCCAGCACAACCAGTGGGGATGGCCAGTAGCTCTGCTATCTGTTAATGGCAGGATCTGTAGTCCTATATATTTAGAGTCTCCATTTGAGAAAAGGCTGAAACAGTCTACAAAGAAACAGCCACCTAACCCTATCAAGTATAGTTAAAAGCTATCTCTATAAACATCGATGGTCAAAATAACAGTATATTTTTCCTTCATGTTCTAGGACAGTGGTGGCAAACCTTTTTACTCACCGAGTACCAAACAGGTACGCGCTTTATGTGCTTGCATGCCATCCATGCTAACACGCGGCTTCACCCCGTGCGCTGTGTGCACAACTGCACCATCTGTGCATGCACACAGCTTTCATGCACCCCCGTGCGCTGCACATGCAACCACACCATCTGCGCATGTGCGTGACTTTTGCGAGGCTCTCCTGTGCTCTGCATGTGCAATCGCACCATCTGCGCATGCATGCAGGTTTCACGCGGCTCCCCATGTACTGTGTGCAAAATTGCACCATCAGCGCATGTATGCGGTTTTTGTGTGTGCAATGCAGGCGCATGAAGACCATCAGCCCTTGCACTATGCATAAGTACAAACACACGTGCATGTGCAGGAGAGCTCCAAAGAGCAGCTGGGTCCCCTGAATTGTGCACATGCACACCAGAGGCCCGAACATCAGCTGGGATGTGCGTGCATGCGCAGCTGCAGGTGAGTTGGGCAACAGCTCACATGCCTGGAAAGATGGCTCTGCGTGCCATCTCAGGCACACGTGCCAAAGGTTCACCATCCGGGTTCTAGGCTGATCAGAAACAGAGCTATGTAGGTTGGGAGTTGCTTGGTTCTCAAAGGCCTTATAAGGCAAATTTAAATATTGAGCCAATCCCTTGGGACACACTGAGAGATTGGTTTTTCTCATTGGAGACATTGGAGGTTTTTAACTATACCTTTTATTACATGTCTATGTGCTTTTGATTATTGTTTACTAATTAAAAGAGCATCACTGTTTACTCTACAGGAAGAAATGAATCATTGAACTTGGACCCAAATCACAATGGTGAAAAAAAAAAGGCCCCATCCTGACAGGGAATGGCCAGTGTTCCTACCCTCTAAGATGACAAGACTAAGAAAGCTAGAAATTCATCTTGATCCAGTGGCTTTATTTTTGAACAGGAGGAGAGAAACGGAGCAAGGAAAGAGGTGAGTGGGATTTAGAACTGGCCTAGAAGTCAGTATTTGAACTGGATCCTTCAAACCTGATGGGATAGGGTGTACAGTGCATTCAGAAAGTATTCAGACCCCCTTCACTTTTGTCAATTTTGCTATGCTGCAGCCTGATTCTACAGTTGTTGAAATTCATTCTTTTCTCATTAATTTCCACTCAGTATCCCATAATGACAAAGTGAAAACAGAATTTTAGAAATGTCTATAGATTTATTAAAAAGAAACGAAATATCACATTGGTATAAATATTCAGATCCTTCACTTAGTACTGTGTTAAAGAACCTTTGGCAGCAATTACAGCCTTGAGTCTTTTTTTGGGTGTGACGTGACAAACTTTGCACACCTGGATTGGGGGATTTTCTGCCATTCTTCCTTGCAAATCCTCTCAAGCTCAGTCAGGTTGGATGGTGACCATCGGTGGACAGCCATTTTCATGTCCCTCCAGAGATACTCAATATGGTTCAAGTCAGGGCTCTGACTGGAGCACTCTAGAACATTTACAGAATTATCCCTAAGGCATTCCTGTGTTATCTAGGCTGTGTGCTTAAGATTGTTGTCATGTTGGAAAGTGAACCTTCGACCCAGTCTGAGTTCCTGAGCACTGTAGAACAGGTTTTTATTGAGGATATCCCTGTACTTTGCTCCATTCAACTTTCCCTCAACCGTGACCAGTTTCTTAGTCCCTGCTGCTGAAAAATACCCCACAGCATGATGCTGCCACTACATGCTTCACTGTTGGGTTGATATTCGGCAGGTGATGAGCAGTGCTTGGTTTCCTCCAGACACAATGTTTAGAATTGAGGCCAAACAATTCGATCTTGGTTTCATCAGACCAGAGAATTGTTCATCACAGTCTGAAAGTTCTTCAGGTGTTTTTTTGTAAACTCCAAGGCCTTCATGTGTTTTGCACTGATGAGAATCTTCTGTCTGGTCATTCTGCCATAAAGTCCAGATCGGTGGAGGGCTGCAGTGATGTTGTCCTTTTCAAACTCTGTCCCATCTCCACACAGTATCTCTGGAGGTCAGTCAGAGTGAACATTGGGTTCTTGGTCACCTCTCTTACTAAGGCCCTTCTCCCCCAATTGCTCAATTTGATCGGGTGACCAGATCTTGGAAGTGTGTCAAATTTCTTCCATTTGAGAATTATAGAGGCCACTGAGCTCTTAGGAACCTTCAGCGAAGCATAAATTTTATTATAGCCTTCCCCAGATCTGTGCCTTGCAATTATCCTGTCCCTGAGCTCTGCAGGCAGTTCCTTTGTCCTCATGGCTTTTGCTCTGCTACAGTATGCCTTGTCAGTTGTGAGACCTTCTGTAGAGAGCTGTGTGCCTTTATAAATCATGTCCAATCAATTTAATTTACCACAGATCAACTCCACTCAAGGTATAGAAACATGCCAACAACGATCAAGAGAAATGGGAGGCCACCAGAGCTAAACTTCATGTGTTGTTGCAAAGGGTCTGAATAGTTATGCCAATGTGATATTTCAGTTTTTCTTTTTAATAAATTTACAGCCATTTTTAAACTTCTGTTTTCACTTTGTCATTATGGGGTACTGAGTGTAGATTAATGAGGAAAAAAATGAATTTCAACAACTGTAAAATCAGACTGCAGCATAACAAAACTGACAAAAGAGAAGGGGGTCTGAATACTTTCTGAATGCACTATATATGAAAATAGGCATCACTTAACGGAACTGGCTTAATAATTATAAACTACATCATGTGGTGAGGTGGGGTCATCATTAAAAAACACAAATGTGGCTCTTGAAAAGAGTTCTTGAGGCTGATATTTGTTGCTTCTTTCACTTTCATGATGTGCATGTAATGATATACCAAACGAACACGAAATCTCATTTTTCATTCAGCTGAAATTTTCAGGACAAAAACCATATTTGTCTTTATTTTGATAAAAAGTTGCAAGGGTCACCAAGACAAAAGAGAATTTACTTGAGGGTTGGCTGGGTGCTTCTAACCCCTGGACTGCCTGCTAATTTGCTTATTTGTAAAATAATTTATTGTCCAGATCCACAAGAAAAATTTACAAAGAATAACAAATCCACAAAGCCAATAAAATGACATCTACTCTAGTATTGACATCTGTTATGGATCCTCTCTCTTAAGGAGATGCATCTAGTGGGGCCAAGAAGAGAAGCCTTCTCAGTAGTGGCTCCCTCCTTGTGGAACATTATCCCTGCAAAGATAAATTTGGCCCCAATTTTGATATTTTTTTTGCAAGGCCCTGAAGATACGTTCTACCAACATGCTTGTGGACCCCAGAGTGATTTGGAGCCCTTTAAGTGGCTGGTCGATTTTTGTCATCAGGGGAATGAGTGTTTATTGGGTTTTGTGCTGGGTTTTTTATCTTTGTAAGTCACCAGAGTTACCACGAGAATTGGGCAGTCATATAATTATTCAAACAAACAAAGGCAGCCCTTATACCATTATCACCCCTAAGCAGAACAAAAACATATTTAAGTCCTTCTGGAAAATGAGGAAAAAACTGCCCAGGGTGGGCTAAGTCAAAATAGAAAGGCTGTCCTATACGCCATTATCCCTTTATCTCATGTACGTTTTTCCAAACCTCACCCCATTTTAGACACAAACTAAGGATGCTCTCTTTTTCCCTTTTGAAGGAGAAAATCCCCTGAATCTAATACTATACACCCTCTAAAGGGCCTTATATTTGCTCCTACAGCCAATAATTTAACTGTTGATACCTGCTGGCCCTTTCTTCTTGTTCTTCTTTCCCTTCTTCCTTTGGTTCAGTTGCCTGAATGCTTCTGCTGCTTTTTGAAGCTTGGCCACGAACAGCTCAATGTCATCGAGGGTGCAATTCAGTACTTGCTGCAAACACACAAACGAGAGAACTTCAGACAAAGCCAACAGCCAGAAGCCATCCATGCTCACACGAACTTACTCTGCATCTCCCTGATTAAGAGTCAAAATGTTAATTGCAGCTTTAATCATGAGCAGTCAATGTGATCTGCAGGTACATTATGTTTTAAATAATCACCACTAGGAAATTGTGGGCCGCCTCCAGACCAGGTGGAGAGAAATGCTTGGACAAGGGCATCTTTCCCCGCTATGTTCTTATTTGCATCTCAAAAAAAAAAAAGCATTTCTTTTGGTAACACATGAACAATCAACAAATAGATTATACCATCAAGTGGTTACCTCATCTTCTCCCATATAACTTTAAAAAAAAATTACTATCACTAACCGTTTCTTTTTCAATCTTCTGTGCTAAAGCTGCACGAGACTCCTCATATTCCTGGGAGCTACTACTTCGTCGATCAGTCTCTGGCAAAATACAAAAAGCAAAGTACAATTAATCCTCAATTTACAACAGTTCCTTTAGTGACTGTTCAAACAACGGCACTGAAAAAAGTGAATTATGACTGTTTTTCACACTTACAACCTTTGTAGCATCCTCATGAGCATGTGATCAAAATTCAGATGCTTGGCAACTGGTTCGTATTTATGACCATTGCTGTGTCCCAAGGTCATGTGATCACCTTTTGCGACCTTCTGACAAGCAAAATGAATCTGGGGAAGCCAGATTCATTTAACAACCAGGTTACTAACTTATCAGCTGCAGTGATTCACTTAACAACTGAGGCATGAAAGGTCGTAAAATGGGGCAAAATTCACGTAACAAATGTCTCACTTAACAACAAAAATTTTGGGCTCAAACAAAAAGTTTGGGTCATAAATTGAGGACTACCTGTATTGTCAATGGAAAAAAAACAAAACAGAAGTGGAATTAAATTATTTGTTTAAAAACATTCCCTGTATCAAGCTACCCTATGAAGCTTTCTTTGACATGAATATTATGAATATACAGTAGATATATGGATTCTGTCAAAGGAAACAGAAGTAGTCGTTTGGGAACTAAATGTATTCATTAAAAACTTAGAAGGTGGAAGCATCACATAGTTATTTATTTTATTGCTCTGGATATAATAATAATAATAATACATCTAAGAAAATTTGGCAGAGCTTTATCAGTTTGGCTGGTTCCAGACTCTGTTTTGCAGAAAGAGCTTTGCGGGCCTCATTGCCAAGGATTTGTCAGCTAAGAGCTGCAATGAAATTGTTCTTGCGCACAACTCTCATAAACCTTTAAAATGTGTCCTTTTTTAGCCACCCCTGCAGCAAAATTGAATTTGACTTGTTTTCAAACAGACTTTTTCGAAAGAAAAGAATCAGAGTAACCAGATTTTGAAAGTAAATCCTGTGTGGGGCTAGCTATGTCTAGCACAGTCAGAATCCAGGTATTCTCATCTAACAAGCTCATCTGACACGCAGCAAGATCCATGAAATAATTACAAAGTATATCTTTAGAAACATTATGTTTTAAATCAACTTGCAACATACTAATATACATTGAGGTGTGAAGCTGGCTGATAGTCAAGTTCATAATTTTGGGATACATCTTTTGATAAACATGGATGATTAGTTGTAATGCAAATGCATAACTTGCTATAAAAAGCATACACAAAGGCCATCTCTCTTTATCACTGGACATTATTCCTCTTTTGCAAAATTAAATTTTAAAATAGGATTCTAGTTCTCGGGATCAAACTATTGCTCTGTTAAGAAGTCCAAACAAAACGGTTCTCTATCCAGTAAGTTTAAAACAACTTAAACCTTCAATTAAACAAAATTTTCAGTGTCAAACTGACACAGTGGCTGGGGATGGCGGGTTATAGTTTCTTATGCTTGAGGGCATCAAGTCAGGAAAAGCTGCCATATATAAGAAAGGTTCCCTTCAAAGAAAAACTCTGTGTCAAGATTGAACAGCTTTGCTTCTTTCAAACCTAATACTTTTCAACTTGCCAATGAACTGGGGGGAGGGAAGGGGGAAATAGAATGTTGAGAATGTGTGCGTGGATCGTGAGAGCCTGGCAAGGTCACTACCGCAGGTGCTTGAGAAAGACATGGGCCGTTCCCATAACAAAAGGATGTCTCATAATTGGACAGGGGTGGGGAGAAAGGGAAAATATTGTTTAACTAAGCAAGCATTTTTGCGGGAGCATCAGAGTTGGTTTTGATTCTTTAGTACCAAAATGGTGTATCCAATAAAATTGTACTTTGTGGAATTCAAAGCTCCTGAGAGTGTTTCTTTATTTTGGATTCACTAAAACACTCAAATTTTGTACATTTTGCCTCTGAAGAAAATCAGCAGGTGAAGCTTTCCTCTGCATTCTATCACCAGATTGGCTAAAAGTTTATCTCTTAGTGTGCTATCCATCATGCAATTATAAAGTTGCATCAAGCTCCTATTAATTAAAAAAGGCAGTGGCTCTGTTCTGGTCCTTCTGGTTTCTTCAGTAGGAAATCTGCATGTCCACCCATTTTGCATAAATTGCTGTAAAGTAGCAGACAGGTTAACATCCCTTATTTCTTCTTGCAATGCTTGTGCTCTTGATGGAGCTACAGCACCCTTTTTCCTTTGGGTTGCTGCTAATTCACATGGCAAAAATCTCTGCTATCCTTTGAAAAAACCCCAGCAAATGCAGGGAGGGGTTCTTTTGCTGTAATCAGTCCCATTATCCACTGCTTCCTCACTGGGGCAAATAGGTTCTTGTGCTGTTTCCCAGAAGGAGGCAATGGATTAGAGGAGAAAAAGAAATTTAGGACTTTGTGATTGCTGGAAGAACTAATGACCAGAGAGGGGGAGTCCCTGGACAAACACCAGGAAATGTTAGAAAACTAGTATCAGTTAATCAGTAGCTAGTACCAGCTGGAAGTGCGCACAAGGTTTGTGAGAGGGAAAATAGACTCTATATCGAGTGGGTAGCTCTAGATTCAGCAATAGATTTCTGGTTGATTTGTAACAGTCTGGCAAAAATCTCTAACTCTTTATTGTTTAATAGCAACAGCACCAAAGACTCCTACCTCACCTCTGTTCTGATCAGCAAGAATCAGATCAATTATGATGGCCTATCTATTTTTGTACAGATACAGTTTTGCATGAGGTTCTAATAAAGACCAAGGATTCTACTAAAAAACAAAAACGTCATGAAGTTGAAGGCTGCCTTCCCCATCTATTGACGCAAAAACCACCTGCCATCACCTTCTTTAATCTGTTATTCTCTGGGACTACTGCTCCTAGAACTGAAGAGATTCTGAAGAGGTTGAAGAAGGAAGCTCTAGTACAGCAAAAACACCTAGGCATAATTCTGGCTGTCCAAAGGCTGAGGAGAATGGGATTTAAGCATGCTGTGTTTTAATTATCACATGGAAATATTCATGAATGCCTTGTTTTCTTGGGCCTTTAAGACATGCACATGAGTGACAAGAATGACATGGCCTTGATTTTCCATTGATCATGTTAGTGTGGCAATGAAGGCTCCTGCAAATGCTGGCAGAACTGGGCCTTCAAGTGCAGGTGCTGACCTATTCACGGATGTGGTGGAATGTAGTCTAGATTCCCAGGAGGGAGGGGCTGCATCCTAGAGGGAAATAAGACAGCCAAGCATGGAAGTTTCCTTGGAAGAAAAAGAGTTAAGAAGATTCCTCCCTAGCACTTCTCATAGTGATGCAAACATTGCTTTATTTTGGCAAGATTTCTGTCTATAGCTGAGGAACAATAAAGGAAACTACAGAGAAATAATTCTACTTGTCTTTTGTTGTTCTTGGGGCCTGATAGAGTACTGACAATTCCTATACCTGGCTGGGACGGAGGGACCACACGATTCTGGTTGTTTTTTCGGAAGCCTCTGTTTTCATCCTGGAAAGGGATGGGCGCAGGCCCTTGAGGTGGGGGAAGGATGGATTGCCTCTGTTTGATCTTCTCTTGGTTCACCCTGCAGAAGGAAAATAGGAATGGTTTTGATAACTAAAAGATGTACTGTTCACTCAAATAGCAGACACAGAGCAAATGAATTTAAACCTGTGTTGATTAATTTGGAATTTATTGGACTAAGAGCAATATTTAATTATGGAGGGGAGGAGTACAAAACATTTCATATAGACTTCAATTATGGGTGATCTAACAATGCAAAGCCTTTCATTTACATCCGTTGTACAGATTAAGCTGATCTGCATATGTTGGTCACTGTAGAAATCCTACTAAATTCAGCTAGATTTAATGCTAAATAAACAAGTGTGCATAAAATCACCATTCTATTTTGCTTATCTCAGCAAGCAAGGAGTCAGTAGAGGTATCAGACCAGACCCACAACTGCCTGTTGAACATTTTCTTCAGACACCTTTTTGGTTTCTAAAGTTCTATGGGCACATCAACATACTTGCTCCATTGCCAGAGTGGACATTTTTATCCTCCCTCTATCCAGGGCTAGTACTTTTGTTTTTATGTTGTATTTATTATTGTGACTTTTATATTTTTATCTGTTTTTGTTGGCTGTTTTGTTTATTGTAGTACATCCTCCCTTTGGGACGATATGAAGAGCTACATAAATTTGATAAATAAATACGTTCATGATTATCTCTGATTTATGTGCAATTTGTAAACCTGATCAGTTCTTTCACAACCTGTGCTTTTTTTTTTTTTCTGCTTGCAAAGCGTCATGAAATGTACATAGCAACTCTATGGATAATAGAGACTGATATGGATAAATGAATGTTTTTTAATGACCAAGCCTTCCGGATGCTGGGAAAAAGCAAACCAGTGGGCATCGTAAGGCCTAAGTCCAATTGATGAGAACTTTCAGGTAAAATTTCCATAGAAACGGGACACAAGGGTTTTGTACAAATTCAAAATCAGTTCCAGATTAATCTTATTGATTTTTATCCCACCTTTATTATTTCTATAAATAACTCAAGGCAGAAAACATTCCTAATATTCCTTCCTTCTCTATTTCCCCCATAACAATAACTCTGTGGGGTGGGTGGTGCTGAGAGAGAGTGTGACTGGCCTAAGGTCACTCAGCTGGCTTTCAGGCCTGAGGTTGAACTAAAACCCACAGACTCTGGTTTCTAGTCTGGGGCCTTAACCACCAGACCAAACTGGTTCACAACTCTGTCTGATCTGATAGCATCAGCTGGTTTGGGGAGCTGAGTCAATTTATTTCTAGCTCCGTGGTAGTTTACTTGAAGCCAGAGCATAGGTGACTTTTTTTCCCCTGAACTTGTGGCTCTGCAGAGTTTGTGGCTGATTTCATTTTCACTGATGAAAAGAAATACATCATCTTGTCTTCTGGAACCAAAACGGCCACTGTTCTTTCCCATCAACTCACCTACCATACAGTTTATCTTCCTAATACTTGCCTTGTTCACAATAATTGTCTACAAGCATTGCACTGCAGTTAATATGTAATCAAGATTACAAGTAGGAGGATAAAATGCCTGATTATAAAGTTGCTGACATATTACCATTTCACCATCGTGTTAAAAAAAAAAAAAAAGCAAGGGCCTTTTAAATGTGCAAAGATGTCAGCTGTGGAACCAGTTAAGTATCTCCTCAAAGCAGCTGCTTTCACATGTCTATTAAAAAGGCTGAATAAATGGACATATCGGGTACTGAAAAGGTAGTACTGATTTCTTTTATTTCCCTTTTATATGAAGTGGGGAAGAGGAGATTCAGTTACCCCAGTGCAACAACTGTTCCAGACAAGGCTCCGGCTGGATAGTGTCCTTTGGTCAATTGGAAGGGAGATGGATGAACATGGAAGGACTCATATTATTGGTAAAGAATCCCCAAATTTTGAGGTTCAAATTATTTTCATGGGAATTGAAGGTAGTATGCAACTATCTCTAATCCTATCGACTTTATAATATTTTTTTTCATTAACAAATGCATTAAGCAGGGCTCCATCTCTGCCCTATTAAGTTCCAGCAAGATATATTTAGGCACTTGCACAAAGCCACTGCTTTCAATTCCCAGTCCTAGAAACGGATTCACAATGACCTGCAATTATTTTCCAGCTGATGAAAAAAAATCCTAAATAATGAAATTTAGTTGGAATGATTTCTGAACAATTGTGCTGAAATGTGATAGCATTAAGAGGTGAATTTTCACTTGTGTTTTAGGCTGTTTCCTCTGTTATTGAAACCTGTCTGAAAGAGTCTCATCCAATTCTTTATTCATTAGATTTGGGTTTCAGAATGTCTTCCTGAGAGAAAGAGCAACTCTGCTGCCAGAGATAATTCTTTCTTCCATCTTCATGGAATATGGGTAAAATTCCTCAAAGTTTTGCTACTCCAAGTGAGCTTCCACCACCCATTTTCAAACAGCAACAACTCAAACTTGGAAAGGAAACTTGCAACCCCTGTAGTCCAAAAAATGCATTTTTCTGGGCTCCCTGCTACAGTTTGTCCATATACAGAAGCCACTTACTTGAGGGTCTGAGGTCGTATCTTCCTTCCAAACTTATGGTCAGCAAGTGCACTTTCTATGTCCTCATGAACCATCTCTGCCTAAAATACAGAATCAGAAATAGATTGGGGAAGGAAAGATGCAATGGAAAAATGCACGCAGCCTGTCTGATAGACAACATTAATTGACTGCCCTAAATCTACATTTTATTGATGATGTATGCCTTCGCTTTAAAAACAAAGTGTAAAAGGGAAACATACAGGCACAGGGCATCAAGGAAATATTTCATGGGGCTATGAGGATTGCTAGCAGCAGAATTTAAACAGAGAGGTTATTCAGATTTGAAGCAAAGGTTCCCTTCAATCCTCAAGTAAAACTAATTTCTGGAAAGCTTTAAACTTTCAAAATGCAGCCAACAAATATATTGCTGTATGAATCATGGAGGGTGTTTTCCTGCTCTGTAAACACATCCTCTTTTAAGGGAGCTCTGCAAAACCCACCTATTTCTGAAAACAGTCTCTTGTTTGCATTTGTTTTGGCAGAGGTGGGCTTCAGTGTGGAGCTTCTGCTGACATGGAACTCTTGGTAGGGCTTTATCCTCCCTTCTCCAAGCCATGAGATAATTTGGAAACTTTAAATATTCGTGCCACAGGATTGCCCCTCTCTAGGTCCCTTCTCTGAAATCTTGCCATCTAGTTGGACCAGGGATGTGTGCTTTTTCCATAGCTGTCCCTATCTTGTGGGATGGCCTTCCCGCAGCAATCTGAAAGGCTCCATCCTTTTAGTCTTCTGGATGGTCATCCAGACCTGGCTTTTTATGCAGGTACTGGGCTAGTGTGAAACTGTTTCTTGGTACTTGTTTTGCTACTTGTTTTGGGTGGGTTGTTGGGGCATCCCAAGGGAATGACCAAGGCACCATGTTAAGATGTGTTTTATGGTTTTTATAGACCAGGATTTAATTACTGTTGTGAGCTGCCCAGGGTTGTGTTTTAAGATGGACAGCCATATAAATCTTAAAAAATAATAAAATAAAATAAAATAAAAATAATAAAATAAAATTTAAAAATGTGGGCTCTTCTCTATAACTCTAAAATCTAGGCCAACCTTGCACTTGGGGGATGGGTTGGAACTGTAACTCTAGTGCAGGGGTCCTCAAACTACAGCCTGTGGGCCGGATATGGCCTGCTGCAGCCATGAATCCAGCCCACACGCGACCATGAGCCTGCCCTGTCTACATCGCCCCACCTACCTGGCGGCCCCCACCTGTCTTCTGGAGGCCAAGGAGGCCAAAAACGGGGTGTGCGGAGACCCCGGGAGGCCAAAAACGGGCCTGTTTTTTGCCTCCCCAGCCTCCAGTGAGAGAGAGGGAGCGATGGAGGTAGGGAGACACACACACACACAAGCAGAAGTCCCTCAATCCCCAAGGCAGCTACATCCCTTCACTAACCTGCTTTCCACCCCCAGGAGCATAACAAATTGAAGTTTAAATTGTGTGTATTGTTTAATGGTCCGGCCCCCCAACAGTCCGAGGGACCGTGAATTGGCCCTCTGTTTAAAAAGTTTGAGGACCCCTGCTCTAGTGAGTCCAAGTTCTCATAACCTCATTTGGCTCCCTCTTCAATAAGGACTGAAGAACTGCCGTTTACCTCCACTTCATCACAATTAAAGAAGTGAATGTCAGGTTTGTGTTGTTCAGAGTCTTGACACACCAACAGAAGGATGGAGGGATATCGCATCTGATTCAGCACAGTCTGGCAGTGCTGGACTGTTGGCAGAAGGAAGTCTTCGAGCTCTTCCTGAAAAGCAAACACCAAAGAGAATGTGGTTCAAATATACCGGTACATAAAGGGATGTTCAGCTAGAGGCTGCATTTGCACATTGAAATGACTGTTTGCAAAAGGAGACCATGAACACAGGAGCATTCGAGTTGCCCTTAGGAGTTTAAATCCATTAGCAGCCACATTCTCAACATCAGAGTGGCAACGCTATTACTGACGCACATTATTCAGCAGGGACTGAAAGAAAGAGAGCATAACTCTTGGTACTTGCGATAAATTGGGACATGCTGAAAAAAAACCTGATGAACTGATAACTTTTTTGTAATGATCTGTTTATATCTTGCCTTAATAATGGATTCTCTCAGATGCCAACCAGAAAAATTATCCATAACGCCTCAAAAGTGTAGTTCTTTCAATTTATATATTTAACTAAGAGCTGATTGTGAGCATTATTTATTCAAATAAAATCGTTCCGGGCTTTCTAAAAGGTGGGCATGGCTCTTTGTATTTAGTTTAACTTGATAGAAGTTCGGTATTTTATTCTGAGCATTACCTTAGACAGTGTTTCTCAACCTTGGCCGCTGGACGATGTGTGGACTTCAACTCCCAGAATTCCCCAGCCAGCTCTGGGAGTTGAAGTCCACACATCGTCCAGCGGCCAAGGTTGAGAAACACTGCGTTAGAGTTTCTTTATTTCTTATTTGGAAAATAAAGTTAAAAGACCACTTTTTGTTGTGGAAATTAGCTTCATTCACACATCATATCAAGTACCATACAGGTAGCCCTCGACTTACAACAGTTCATTTAGTGATCGTTCGAAGTTACAGCCCTGCAAATAGTGACTTACAACCATTTTTCACCCTTATGACCATTGCAGCATCCCAAGGGTCATGTGCTTTACATTCAGATGCTTGATAATTGACTCATATTTAGGACGGTTGCAAAGTTCAGGAGTCATTTTGCGACCGTCTGAAAAGCAAAGTCAATGGGAAAGCCAGATTCACTTAACAATCATATTACTAAATTAACCACTGCGGTGATTCACTTAACCAATGTGGCAAGAAAAGTCGTAAAATGGAGCAAAACTCACTTAACAAATTTCTCACTTAGCAACACAAATTCTGAGCTCAGTTATGGTCGTAAGTCGAGGACTACCTCTACTTTACCAAAGCTAGATTAGTTTGTAGCAAGATAATCATGTTTTTTTTTAATCTGCTCCAAGCTTCTTTTCCTGTCATTTTAGTTAGGGTTAGAAGCATGAGCAGAATACAAAAACGAATCGTGGTGACCCAGCAGATCACAAATAAACCATGCTTCCTCACTCATATATCATGTAAACCACAACCACAATTGACAAGATAGTTATTTATTATCCCCCCAGAAAAGATGGTTTATTTATCTGTCTTGCTTGCACATAATGCTAACCCAGGAACAAATCAATCACTCTGTGGCTCATTGCAATGAGGCAACCCAGACTTTTATCATTTTGATGCCCTCCAAATACATTATCTCATTAGATCCATCCATTATATGGGAATTGTGGTCCAACCGATTTGGAGGGTGCTAGATCAGGGGAGGCTGCCTTGTATTATTAGGTTTCTAACATTTACCAGCACAGCTCCTGACCTAATCTATCCAGACCATTTATTCTAATTGTAATGTAAACAACCTCTCTTGTCCATTACCCAATGCTTTGGCAGAATAGAAAGCATTTCCGTTAATATGCAATTCATCCCTCTGCTCAGTCATCTTGATTAGATCAGTCATATCCCTGCTGGAATACAGGCACACAGACAACAAGGTGCTTGCTATGCACGTAGGCGGAAGAAATCGGGCAGACTTTTGACTTTTTGTTGTGGTTGGTCTGAGCATGAATTCCATCCAGTTTAATATTCTCAGAAAAGCCTGCGGCAATTCATCAACCCATTGAGAAATAATATGCAATACCTTTATGTAAATCTTAATCTTTCTAATGTATGTTTAGCAACTTGCCTCACCATCACTCTCCAAAAAGAGGTTTTTGCTGCTCACCTGAGTTCCACAATCCAACAGTCGAATCGATTTGTCATTCACCTGCAGCAGCATTTCTTGGGCCCAGATCTTCTCTTTGGAGCTCAGCTGTTTGAGCTTCCTGATGGCATCTTCCACTGTTACGATGGCCTCGCTTTTATCCATGATGAAGGTAGCCAGGTGCTGGAAAGTGGGGGGGAGGGAGGGAAATGCCCCAAAAGGTCAAACAGGGATGATAAACAATTTAACTCCAGAGTTTGATTGTATTCATTGCATACACATGTGTTCATAGAGACAGCTAACTCTAGTTTCTATTAGAAACTTTGTCAATTATTTTATTTATAAGGGGGGGGGGGTTATCCCATCTTTCTTACTTTAGAGATAAGTCAAAATGGCAAACATGCCTAATACTCCTTCCTCCTCCTATTTTCCCGACAAGAACAACCCTGTGAGGGGGGTTGAGCCGGAAGAGAGTGATTGGCCCAAGGTCACCCAACTGGCTTTCATGCCTTAGACAAGGTTTTAGACCAGGTTTCTTTTTTTTTTTAATTTTAAAACAAACTTTATTAAGTTTAAAAATATTAAAAAACAAAAATATACAAATTTTTCTCAATCATAAAATTACATATACAATACACAACACCACAAACAAACTAAATATATGTAATTATATGTACACACATATATAAACAGTGACTTATTACCTATTCTATCTACCTGACGGTGCTTATTTATTACATTTGATTTTTCCTGAATTTTGTCTTTACCTTTTTTTCTTTTGATTTATCCACTTGTACCATCTATTCCATACTTTAAAATATTTTGAGTCTTCCTTGTCTTTTAATTCTAAGGTTAGTTTATCCATTTCTGCACATGCATAAATTTTTTGAATTACCTCCTGATCCGTTGGCAAACAATCTGTTTTTCTATCCTGGTGCCTTAACACTAAACCAAACTGGCTCTCTGATTTTGGCTCTCCCCCAATTCTATGGTGCAAATACTGCCAGTGTATAAAAGAAACCACTGCTATAGATTTGATGGTTTTGTTTATCAGCAGTCTCTCAAATCTTACTTTATAGAAGATAATTTGCAAAAGAGCTATGTGAACTGACAAGGACCTGCAGCCAAATTCTAGGTCTTGTTTTGAAGAACTGTTAAGTCCTATCAGGGGTGAAATGCTCCCGGTTCGGACCGGATCACCCAATCCGGTAGTGGGTGGTTCGGAGAACCGGTAGCAAAAATCCCTGTGCCCCTCCCGCATGACCAGTTGAGCCGCGCGATCATCAGAGGCTGTTTTTTTAACTTTTAAAAGATTTTTTCTACAACCTCTTCAGCCGAAAAAAATGCTTTTAAAAGTAAAAAAAAAAAGCCTCTGATGATTGCGCGGCTCAGCTGGGATCATCAGAGGCTTTTAAAAGGATTTTTCTACAACCTCTTCAGCCGAAAAAAATGCTTTTAAAAGTAAAAAAAAAAAGCCTCTGATGATTGCGCGGCTCAGCCTGGGATCATCAGAGGCTTTTAAAAGGATTTTTTCTACAACCTCTTCGGCCAAAGAGGCTGTAGGAAAAAAAATGCCTTTAAAAGTCTCTGGCAATCCCAGCTGAGTTGCCTGATCGTCAGAGACTTTTAAAAGCATTTTTTTCTGCAAACTCTTTGGCTGAAGAGGTTGTAGAAAAAATGCTTTTAAAAGTAAAAAAAAAAAAAGGTGGCCACGCCCACCCACTCACATTACCGCGCCCCCCACCAAGCCACGCCCACAGAACCGGTAGTAACAAATTTTAGATTTCACCCCTGAGTCCTATGTATTTAAACACACGTGGCAGCCCTTAGTTAGTTCTTTCTCTTTAGTGCAGAGTCATTTATACTGAGACCACAGCAAGGCATTCAGCTTTCTGCAAGCAATTAAAAAATAAAAACAAAACCGAACAAACAGCCAGGCATGATTGGACTTGTAATAATTCCACCTCAGCTCAAAACTTGTTGCCCTAGTTTGAAGGGGGAAAAGCCCTCCTTGGCTTCACACACTCCAACAGTTTGCTTTCTAGATGTGAGGATTTGCATACATGAGCTATTTTTGTGCAGGCCCTACTGATGATAATGCCAGGAGCAAGAACATTGTTATCAAACAGTGCAACAAAACACACAGGAAAGGGGGCCTTTTGTTAATCTCCATCTGCCTGCTGTTGTTGGCTGATGAAAAGAAGCTGTTCTTCCTTGGCTCAGGAAAAATCAACACAATGCTACCACTATGGCTTTATCATCCAGCAGAGGGAAGTGTAAAAGACCCTTCAAAATTACATTAATCCGTTCTCCTAGGAAACTCAATTAGACCTGTGAAAAGGCCAGCTTCTTGGATTAGAGGTTTGCCCATTGTGGACCTTCTTACGCTGGTTCTGCACTTGACCTCCTTCTCCTCATAATCCAGCAAGCAAAACACACATTCGCTTAATTTTGCACTATGCTGACTCGACAAAGTTCCGGATAAAGTTATTTATCCTGCAACTGCTCTGCTCTGAGGAGGGAATTTGATAGCAAGTCCTGACTATTTGCATCCCAGCTGTGTTCCCCACTTTTCTAAAAAGGCAGACCATCTCTTAAGGAAAAACAAAACAGCTGCAGAAAATCTTACGAGAAAAAAGTATAACAGTGCTACTGTTAGGCACTCCGTCACTGGAGGTTTTTAAGAAGAAACTGGACAGTCACTTGTCTGAAATGGTATTGGTTCTCCTGCTTGAGCAGGAGGCTGGACTAGAAGACCTCCAAGATCCTGATCCTGATTCCTGATCCTGATCCTGATTCCTGATCCTGATCTTATCTTATCATCTTATCCTATCCTATCCTATCCTATCCTATCCTATCCTATCCTATCCTATCCTATCCTATCCTATCCTATCCTATCTTTGGACAATACTTTCTACTGCCAGGGTAGTTGAAATCCTCATTCATACTTGCTGAATTCTGTCCCTCTGAAAAGGAACTATAAGATTTTTCCTGGGAGGTTGAAAACCTTTTTAGTTTCCTTAATCTCTTTCTAAAGCAAAGCCAAGAAACCAAGTTGGTTAATAAGTTTGAGCCATGTTTGCAACTGGAGAAGTGATAAAAGACATAGCAGCATTTTCCCCTTTAATTCCTTCATTGCTGCAAAGAATCTATTCCCATTGAGGCTTTGCAACGGAGAAAATGCTAGAATGGCACTTCAACTGGTAGAGCATCAGAGAGAGCTGGACCTTTACTCTGGTAATAACATGGGCATTTTGGTAGCCCTTGGACGAATGATTTACAAGCATCAAAATTACTGCTAGGCTTCCAGGCAGGAAATGCTCTAGTACAGTGCTTCTCAAATTTGGCAACTTTAAATTCTGTGGACTTCAACTCCCAGCATTCCCCAGCCAGCACGCAACAATTTTTTTGCTAAGAACAAAAAAGACCTTGGTTTAGAATTCTAGAAATAATATCTGTATTGATATGTATGAAGCCATACTAATCAAGAGAAATCTACTTATGAGAACTTGGTGTACTGGCAATCATATTTTATTTGATTAGCGTTCAGGATGAAAGCTCACTTCGTGCCTGAACAAACATGATAAGGAGAGACATATTTTGGTTACTGAAAGAGCAAAGGCATCACTCCTGTGCAAATGCTTACAATCATCTTATTGCTTATTTTCAAAAGGAATCACCAGAATTTAAGTCATATATACAGTTTCAACTCCAGCCTTCTGAGAGCTCAAATACATTAAATATGCCACAAATGAAGATTTGCTTATTTTAGACAATGGTACATTTGAATATATAATCCCAGCCTTTTATAGGAAGCCCAGAGCGAGCATGCAGTCAGAACGAACATGCAACGGGGAAGCAGGATTCCTCATGCTGTCCCTCCATTCTTTCATCCACTGAATGAACCAAGGCTACACCAGTAGCAGGGAATCTGGCTTCTGGCCTGTTGGGACCAGCAGAGCTTGTACCTCCAGCCCAATACTTTCCTTTGTCTCCCCATTAGGAGCAATTCTCTTTTACAAAGGCACCAACAGAAGTTTTTTTAAAATTTAATTTTAAAAAGCCTCACTGGTACACTGGGAACATAGGTGGCATGGGAAAAACCTAGCTTTTCCCTTTTTAAAGAACTGATTTCAACCAGGTATCTATCCCCCCCACCCCACCTCCAGTAATCTTGGAAAAAAAGAGGGGAAAATTAAGCAAATGGAAGGATTTCCAATTCTGTTGCTTGCTAACAGTGAACCTGCTAAACTGCTCGGGCTACATTATTAGTGTTAACTTTGAAGAAATTGTTTATTTTATTAGATTTATTAGCTAACTATTTCCCTCCTGTGACTTATTTCTGTTGTATTGGTAGTTGTGCAAAGAGATTGCACATTGACTCAGTTCCCTTACCTATTGCTAAGTAGTTTCCAACTCACCTGGACATGGTATTGAGATGTTTCGTGCATTATGACGTTTGAGTTGGAGTATTTCTTCCTTTGTTCTGTGGGAGGAAAAAATGTAGTGTAAGGAAATAGATATACTGAAATACTAGAATTAGTAGAAACTTGTTATTTGTTTCCTGCAACATATATATGTATGATATATGATGTCTTTGTATACCTGCATGCTGTAAATATTTGTTTCCTGGAACACATACGTATATTATGCCTTTGAATGTATCACAAATATGCCACACTGACTAACTTCCTGGAACAAACATATACTGTTACTGCGGTCTATAAAGTATCTGGCATTCGTCAAAACGTATGTTCCACCTTTTGATCAGAGCCTTATCTCTGTATCTGTATCTTGAGTGCCCTTCACCCCAGGGGGCTAAATAGCCAAGTGTGAACACAAAGAAGATGATCAGGAAAAGATAACGCTAATGGTGCTAATCTAGAGGCTCTACCCTGTTCCAGGGGGATACACAAATCAAAGATGCCAGAATTGGAGGTTTATGACCTTCCTAAACAATATAAAAGGGATTCACATTCCCTCTCGTTTATAGTTCTTCCCTGCATGTATCTTGTATGTGTTTGGAACAGCTAACCATTTAAGCTTGATCAAGATTAAATGCTATGTTATTCAAGCCTCTGTTTAAGTTTCTTGTTTGACATTTATGAGCTTAAAGGTATTATTATTGGACCTTACAGTAGGATAACAATCGCTCTAACACTTGGCTAGCTTTTTCTTCCAAAAATGTATTCCTTTTTTTCCCTTTCAGGATAGCTTATTTATTATTGATAGTTTTATTTAATTGGTTTATAGAAGGTTTTACACACCATTCTATTGGAATAACAGCTAAGTTCTAGCGTGCATGGGTATTATTTAGTTAAGTAAGTCCCAAAGTAGATATTTTCTTGGCAAACACACAGTCCAACTTCTTCATTATTCAGAGAGAAAGTGAGGCCATAATTCAGTGTCAGTCTTTCCCCCTGATACAGTTTCCCCATACTTAGTGCTCATAGATATGGTTAGATGTAACTCCCACATCGCTTCTGTTGAAGGTTATCCTTCAACAGATAACCATCACACTTTGATAGCAGACATTCAGTATGGGAATATTGGTTGGGGAATTCTAAGAACTGAAGTTCAAAGATCAGACACCAATGAACTTTAAAAATTTCTATATGAGGTTTTTGGAGATGAAATGAGAGGGCAGGGCAGGACAGGGCAGGGCAGGACAGGGGAGGGGAGGGGAGAGGAAGGGAGGGGAGAGGAGAGGAGAGGGAGAGGAGAGGAGAGGAGAGGAGTGTACATATCTGGAAGGCAAATTGAGCTTTGATTTCAAGTCAAAAAGATTCTATTGGCCAATGCTGCATATAAAAAAAAAAGATCAACCATCTACAACTGTTCATTTATTTATTATTTAAAAACTGCCATTGAACCATAAGAAACCCCAGAACATTATAGATAATGCAAATACCATTTGAATATTATATAACAATAAAATTACAAATTATATAGCATTAAACACATTTTCCATCTATTAATCAACCAACCAACCAACCAATTAATTTTTTTTAAAAAAATGTTTTTTTAAATACCTGGAGAAAAAGAAACATTGTCATTTGATGTCATATAAAAGCAAAGTCGCTGCTCACCCCATCTTCTTAGAAAGGGCATTTAAAAGTTGTGGCAGCATCACAAAGATGTATTATGGAATTGCATTATATAAGTACTTGTCAGAGATGCTTTTGGGAATAGGGCTTTCTTTGAAAAAACTAATAAACAAGTGGGATTATACGACAAGCGGTTTTTCTAATATTTCAGCTCCAGTCCATTTTAGGACTTTACAGGTTGAATTAGAAAGATTCTGTTAATGTAGCTTTATATTAACAGTAGAATTAGTTCATCTGATCAAGTTTCTGGTCTGGTCTACTTGGGAAGGCTGATATCAATCCTGCCATCTCTTTTACACCCAGAGAAGTTAAGGAGGTTCCTTTCAGAGTCTCTTTCTTTACTCATTATGCAACTGTGTGCTATGCCCTCTCTTATCTGATTGTTCCCTAGGCAGCATCTCTCCCCTACACACACACACACACACACACACAGAGAGAGAGAGAGAGAGAGAGAGAGAGACTACACTACACCCAAAATCATTCCCACATATCATTAAAATTCTTCATTCTGTTACTCTTCTGACTCATTCTCAGTTTTTAATCACTACTATTCCAAAATCTTTTTTCATTATTACAATTAGCATCTCAGATGTATAACTCTGTGATTTATATTTGTTTTGTAAATAAAGAACTTCGCATTTGCCTCTATTAGGTGTCATTCCATTCCTTTTGCAGAAAAGACACTAGATGTGAAAAAGTTTGCTTAAGAAATAACTCGCAGCTTCCTGCTAAAAAATAATCAGGTTTACTGCCTCCCTTGGGTCATTTCCACACTGTTTTTATTTTTTAGTTTCAAAAGGAGCCTGACCAAATGTCGCTTTCACTGCTCTTGATTTGAATATCGATGCCCAGTAATATTTTCTTCTAACTGATCAATACCAGAGTGCAAAAACCTGGCATTGAAGCATTCCCTGTCTCTATTTGAAGTTCATGTGTCAATTTTTCTGCTCAATAATTTGTTCTATCTCTTGTATATATTATATATGCATAAATAGAAGATAGAATATTTTATTGGCCAAATGTGATTAGATCCACAAGGAATTTGTCTCCTGACTGAGAGCAGAAGCTCTCAGTATACATGCAAAACAGTGAAATAATCAGAATCATAATAACAAATTAATAATAATCATAATAATGGTATCAATAAGAGAAGGTGGTGGAACAGATGAGAAGATAATAATAATATAGCCGTACTACATGAGTAAATATACCTATACATAAGATAGTACTGTGGGAATTAGATGTTCAGCAGAGTGAAGGCACTCTGTGTCTAGTAGGCATGCAATGCCCTGTAGCGGCTTCCCGGGAAAGGGGTTCAAACAGTTTATGTCCAGGATACGAGGGATCTATAGCAATTTTAATATAGGTAGTAGAAAGATTTGTGAAGTACAATGATTGGGCCATAACAGAAGGAAAACAAGAGCAGGGGATATTCTCATTCTTTCTTAGGATTTTTATTTTCCAACACAGATGAGAAAAAAATAAGGAATAGCAAATGTTTCTCTTATTGTTCTGAAGAGCTTTCTGCTTTAGCAATAGCAATAGATTTAGACTTATATACTGCTTTACAGTGTTTTATAGCCCTCTCTAAACGGTTTACAGACTCAGCATATTGCCCCCAACCATTTGGGTCCTCATTTTACCCTCCTGGAAGGATGGAAGGCTGAGTCAACTTTGAGCCTGGTGAGATTTGAACTGCCAGATTGCAGGCAGGCAGGCAGCAGAAGTAGCCTGCAGTACTGCACTCTAACCATTGCGCCACCGCAGTTTATGCTTTCTTGCTTTCTCCAAAATACATCATAAATAGAAACTCTGGGGGGAAAATAAACATGTTCCTAGGCATCCTACTTGCCAGATGGCCTGGGATACCCTTGTCCTGACAAACTTGAAGAGATTCATAGATGTCTGCGTTAGAAATCCACTTGGCAATGATTATACAAATTTGCAAATAAGATGTTGTTTAGTCGTCTGTGTTGAATAATAGACAGCCAGATGACCAGACTGGAGATATTTACAACATTCTTTTCTTCTCCAGCTACATCTGGCTGATTTAGTCCTCAGTAAACTAGAAATAATTTACAATAATTTAATAATAGTATGTATGAATTAATTTGATGGGTTATCATCTCAGGTTAGAAATCAACATTTTAATATGTATTTTTAAAGTTTAAAAACATCCTGTGATCTGTACAACCGAAACACAAAATTCAACTTAAAAAAAAAAAAGATGAAAAGCACAAGCAAGAATAAATGATTGCTAAGAGACCAAAGACAAACATACTATAAAAGAACCTCAGGGAAAGAATGTTACTGACATAAATAGGAAAGTTATGTACTTCATAACATGATAGCCATAGTGTCAAGGGAGTAAAAACCTGGGATATTAGCACAACAGAAGACAAATAAAAAGAATATTTATACTCAGCAATTCCTTCTGGAGGGAATGATGTTTAAAAGAAACATTCTGGTTTTATAGAACAACCAGATAGTTTGATGAAAGAGTTAAAGTCAGGGTGGCTGGATTTAGCCAATTTAGTTGTTAAACCCAAATCTTGACCTGAGCCAGCCAGGTGAAGATCCAAATAACTATATACTAGCTAACTATAAACTAGCAAGACCTGAGCTAATATTCTGAATGTAAGCATAGGATTAAGAAATGAAAACATTTTTAAAAATATTATGTGGCATAAGATCCCTCAGGTCATTTATAAAGAAGTATTTGAATTCCAAATCATTTATTTAAGTTTAATATTCATTCAAGGAATCTGATATTGAAATGTTTCTTTTTCAATATTTATTGTTGAAAAAAATAAAAATGAAGACATAATTCACACAAAATGGCAAACTGGAGAAATCCGAACTTCAGAATAAAACTAAAAGTATAAGGAAGTGAACAGAGATTCCTTTATCTTTAAAGAGCACAAAAGACCAATGGAATAACAAAAATGGGAGAGGAGGTTTTGGGGGTCAAGGGGTGGGAGAGAGGCTATAATTCATCCAAGACAGTTCTGCATCTAGTTTTTTGTTTCCATTGGTTATACCTGAATAATGTGGCATGGAACTAGAGACATGGGAAGGAAACAACGAATTCTCCCCTCTTTGTTACATATCACTGAAATAGTAGCAAGTCACATTATGGTAGTTAGACACAAGAGGCCTATGTTTCTAGATCAAAGGTAAGTCTATACAGAAAGGTTAGTTAGAAAAGATCTTCAGAACAGGACAAAGATTTGTTGTCCATGTCCTGTACTGAAAAAGGCTGTATAAACCCTACACTTGTGAAGAAGGGGATGGAGCAAGTTCTCCCCACAAAAGATAAGCCAGGCCCCAAGGAAAGCTTCCATTACAGTGATATTCTTTGTTTACTTCATTAACTGCA